AGACCCCTTTGTCATCACCGCTTCTCCTAGAGACCCGATTCTGGGAAGAAGAGCTTCACAAAAACGCAAGATTTCCTCCGCTGTCCGAGCTGGCTGTAGGGATCACAGCATGCACTGGAAGAAACACGTCTCGTTAGGAAGTTGAGGGACCTCTGGCCATGAGTTGAGGTCTCAGACAATTTGCCTTTCTGGCTGCTTTGGGACTCAGTAAAGCTGCCACTGGAAATGCACTAGCGTTTAATGGGCTCTTTTAAATGGCAGTGGAAGCAAGAACGCAGCTGCTCTGGTTGGTGACGTGGGTTTTTTCCCCCCCTTTCTGTGAGTCAGATGATTTTAGAAAATAAGCTGAATTTATAAATAAATTAAATTGTCCCCTGCGCACCTGCTCTCACCCTCTGTTCCACTGAAGGGACATTCCATAAAGCATGAGAGCAGATCATTAGAAGCAGGTAATGCCTCTGGGATTCAAGACTAGAGAAGAGCCTAATCATTCACAACTGCCTGTTTGTTACACATGCTAGACAGAGCTGTAATACTGTACAGGATTCATCTGTAGCAGACATTTGGCAGCTCTCGCTTGGAGTAGCACTTATTCACCCCAATGAAATCACTAAGTGTTACTCAGAGGAGTAAAGCTTGCAGGATTCTGGACCCTTTGCTTTCCTTCCCTATGTGTTCCCCCTCAGATCCAAGGGCAGCAAAACCGTAATTACGTTCTATATTACAAAGCATCTTTCGCTTCAAAGTCTCCCAGATGGCTGTGTTACTTGGGGTACACCAAGCACACAAAGCTCTCTACAAAGGTTTTAGGCTACACATGAAAATGGAAGAGAATGCTCTGTGTGGAGTCTGCTGGGAATGCTAATGGTGGGGTGGAGGATTAGCTAGAAAAAGAGAGGAACGTCCTATCTAGCACAATATATACCCCTCTCGCGATCATCATGTCTATACAAATACATACCCCTCTAGCTACCTATCACGTATTTATCCCAATGTTGTTTGTATTACCATAGTGCCTAGGAACTCCAGCCAGGGACCCCATTGTGCTAGGCCCGGTGAGAACTCAGAACGTACCCATTGGTCTGTCTATCAAGAGCACACATGGATTCTCAGCCAGCGAATGTAACAGGTTTCAGGGGGGTGTGATCACCCTCTTTTTTGAGGGAGGGAGAGTTCAACAGTTTCTCTCTCCTGGGGACAGGGGAAGGCAGAGACCCTTTGCTGTGGTATATCTCAAGTGCCAACCAACATTGCATCCAGACACTAACGAGGGGTCTCAGCTAAGGATGGGACTCAGACCAAACGCCCCCAACACACATCTGCCCTGAGCCCTGTTACATTTACAGACCCCAGTCCAAACTCAACTCTTACTGCAGGTATTGAGCGGCTTTTATTCTTTCCCTCATCATCAGCTGTGCTGCTGGGCTGTGGCTGAAGCACTCCCTGGAAAAAGCTCCCAGTCTGGAGTCCCTGGGATCTCACAGGAAAGCCTGCTCCTGTGAGAATGCAGCTCCACAAGGTCTGGAGATGCAGCTGGGCTGGCCCCAAACAGTGACTGTTTCATGGGGCGGGTACCGGACTGATGCGGCTTGCCCGGATGTTGAGGAGCTCCACTGATTTGGCTTATCTGCTCCTCTCAGTTGCGTCACAGGCAGAACTCTCTCCTCCCCGTGAAACAGGAGCCCCTGCCTCGCTGAGCCTGGATGCTGGCAGAGAGCTGGGGTGCCGGCTGTCCAGCTAGTACAGACCCACCCTGGCCCGGTGCATCACAAGCAACTCTGAGGAAAACTCCTCCCGCCACCCAGGTGTGCCTCAGAAAGGGAAGGAGATGTCCCAACTGAGTGGCAGCATGCTCTAGTGGATGGGGCATTGGACTGGGGTCGGATTCTGCCACTGATGTCCCGTGTGCCCATCAGCAAAGTCTTCATGCCTCAATTTCCCTGTCTGTAAACGAGGGTCAGTAGCCACTGGGGTGATTTGCAGAAGTGTTGTCGTGAATGCTCGTAAAGCAGTTTGAGGCACTGGGATTAGGTTGCTGGAGAAGTGCTAGATATGATTGTTATATGTTGCAGTAGTGATCATTCCTTCACCTCAGGGCCAGCACAAGGTAGTGCTGCCAGTAAATAAGCATGCCACTAAGCCAGAGAAGTAGAAGATATCATACTTCTGTGCTCACCAGCAATGAAGGAAACAGCCAGTGAAACAATACAAATAAATCATGCTGATGTCCTATGGCTTTGGGTCACACATTTAGCTGCCCTGAGCTTTAGTGTGAGGTTCACCTGAGTCAAGCCAGATAAGGTGATCTGTTTCTGTAGTTCCCCACAGGGGTTTATTTACTGCATCAGTTTTCTGAATGTACTGCTGAGGAGCGGGAGGGAAAATGGGTGATGGAGCCCAGCTGGGTTTTTCCAGAGGGCGCTGCCTGCTCCGTTTTAATGGGAGTTGGAAACTTAACTCCTTGCTGCCTCTTTGCAAATCCCAGACAGTGTCTGGACAGTTCCCTGGAGCCTTTCCCGCAGAAGGCTGTGAAGGGTGTAAGAGTGCAGGGTAACCACACACAGGAGTTTAGGATGGGAAGTGAGGCAGAATAGTATCAAAAATGCCCTCTGTGAAGTTAAATAGCAGAAGTAGAATCAGGTCAGGACACTGAGGTTAATGCCTCCCCAGTCGTGCAAAAAAGTGCAGTGGGATTTATTTCATGTCTACAAATGGGCCTAAAATTAAGCCTCCTCTGGAAGATAAGATTTAGGAGGAATTTGATTGTTTTCTCTCTTCTGCACTGCTGGGCGGCCTGGCAAACAGTTGTGTGAGAACGAAAGCATGCCTTGTATCTAACAATTTCCCACCCTATTACCGTGCAAGCACACAAACATACACAATTATTAATCACCCAGTGGCAGAGCCCCCATCACCCTGATCACAAGCGTGGAAGAGGCCTCTTTGTATTAAGACTGATGACTACAGCATCACAATTGTTAACATGCATTACAGGATTTTCTCCAGGAGCTGTGATCAACGAAGACTTTCAAATTACTGGCAGCAGCACAAGGACAACTGTGGCGGATTCTGAGTGACAGGAACGCTGGGTGGAAAAAAACATCTAGGAAAGTTTAGGAGGTATAATCAAAGATTAAAGCAGGCTGAATGGACACCCTTCTGCTTAATAGCTGGTGGCATGGTCAGCGCAGCCAGTTGCGTGTAGTGCTTTAGTGAAGGGCAAATCGTTTGCTTGGGATCTTTCAGGCAGGGGTTAGAAAAGGGATCAGAGCTGAGTCGCATTGTTTGTTTCTCAACTAGGCTCTGATGCAGCAAAGCACTTCAGGGTGTGTTAACTTTAGGCGCATGCCTGAGTCCCATTGAAGTCTGTGGGATGGAAGCATACGCTCACTGATAAACATGTCCTTGCTAAGCCAGGGCCAGTGATCCCACAGCTGTAGGGCAGGCACAGGGGACGATGGTGGGGGTGTTGCACACCACCAGCCCGGGGCATTCTGTGGCACATAATGAAGCAGGTCTCTGCATAAGGGGATTAGCCTTCTTTGGGACTGTGCTTTTTGCACCCTTTCAGACTCAGCATGGTTAAATGATGGAGCCAAGCGTGCAACACGCTTGTCCGCGCTACCCCAGGCTGGCGAAACACTGCCCCTGCACTAGGGGCCATCTGCCCAGTTGGTTGATTGCTGTACATTTGTTAGCCCAGAGGACAGGCACCCGGGAAGGGAATAGTTCCATGTCATCCTGTCAGCAGCAGATGATATTTCAGAACTGAAGACACCAGGCGTTGTGGCCTACTCCCCTCGGCACCGGGGCTCGAGGTCAGGGTGTCATCGGGGGCTTGGCCAAGTAACAATAAGGAGAGGGAGGGAAAAGGGATGTAGCCAAGTATGTCAGACACTGACTGTGCAGAGAGGAACCCAGCAAATGAACTCCTCTCAGGAGACAGTCGCAAGACAGGCTCCACTCAGCTGTGACTAAATACCAGGAAAGGTTGCATGCCCACTCACTGAGGCAGGTGCACTTAATCCTGCCTTAGCATGGGCGGGGGTTGGACCAGAGGACCTCATAAGGTTCCTTCCAGTCCTATGACTCCCTCCCCTTGGTAAGCACATTTTCTGGGACACACATTTCAATACGCTTGGCCAGAATTTCCCTCCCATTCAAACACAACTTTACACTGGACACTGAGGACGAAATGTATGTGAATGTAAGGCTGAGGTTCCGATTTTCATCACCCAGAAGTGACGGTATCTCCTGGGAACCCTATTGCCCACATAGGGGGCTTACCGCTCCTCCCACTTACCGTTTCTCCCATTGAACTAAAGGGGAGCTTTGCCACCAACGTGGCAAAGCTCCCCTTTAGTTCAATGGGAGAAGGACAGGACCCTGTTCTGTTCTTCCAGACCTCCACAGAGCTCTCCTTGACTCCAGCTGGGGTGGCCGTGCATACCCAAGGGAGGGACTTGGACCGCCGTGTATAATGATTATATTTAATAGCATGACATGTATCCAAAATACTTGATAGCCACCAGGAGTTTCAGCAGCACTGAGGCAAGTAACAGCCCCATGGGTCATGACGTTGGTCAGTGATGTCCAGGGCACTGCTGCACTCTGGCAAAGCCCCCGGCACTGGGCATGCCCCCAACATGCCCCCTGTGCCAGCAGCTGGAACTAGAAGGGGTGGTTTAGAGCCAGGATGTTACCTGGCTGGGGCAATGGTGCCCCTGGTCCTACACTGACGCAAAGGAAGACATCTGTTGGTGGGGCTAATTTATTTCTTCTCTCAATGACCCTGGAAAAGCTGGGAGAGGCCCCTGGCAACGATCAAGAATATTTGTACTATAGAGTATGTTCAGTATACACCGGGGAAGATACAGAGCTCTGGGATGCCAGAGCAGGGGGGATGTGAGCCCACTCCAGGTGTCCTGACCCACAATTCAGGTTGCAGCATGGTTTATCCCCTAGTTACCGGTAGCTTTACACACACGTGTCTTACTCACATGGTCAATGAGTTCCTTCATCATCCCGTTCCACTGCCCCTTCTCATCCTGTGCGCCATACTTCCCGTCCTCCACCAGCCGGATATCATAGGTAAAGCCCAGGATGTGTGACAGCTCCTTCAGAAGGTCAATGCAGTAACCTTCAAAGCGGTCGTTCCCGAAGAGGGCTGTGTCTGACTTCCGAAACATGACGAAGGGCTCTTCCTGCGCAGCCGGGAGAGAGCGGAGCAAAGAGCCACGGTTAAGGGCAGGCTGCCAGTCCCATTGCCAGCAGAAAAGCGATGAAAGCAGGTGGCTGTTCCTGCAGGTAACCCTGCGCAATGTGACACGCATTATGCAGGCAAGGTTGGCACCACAACATGTTCGGAATAAATTAACTTTGCATGGTGCATCAGCTAATTAGCAACCTTGTTTACCCCACTAAATTTAATTTTCTCTCTTCTGAGCAGCCAACTGTTTTCCATTCAGTGAGATTTCAGAGAGAGAGAGTGAGAGAAAATAACCATTTCATGCTCTGCAAATGAAAACAAGGGCACTGAAAAATAAAAATACATAGGGGGAAAAAATTCAGCCACAAATCCCAGGCGCTAGAAACATAAATGAACCGATCCCTGGGGATTGTTGTGGACTCAGCACCATCAGGGTTCTTAAGAGCATTTGAGTTGGGTGTCTTGCCAGGACACCATGCGTGGCTAGTGGCCGGTATAAGGTTGGCTTTATTTCTTTATGCCCCCGGGATAGGTGAACAAGACAAGACAAAGAATGGGGCAGGGATTCTAGTGCTGGCCAGAGGTAGGTCAAAAGGAGACCAGCACGTGTCTTACACCTTTTCCTTTGTAACACACCAGCACCCACGCCCATAGCAGGTGCTCCTGCAAGCACAGGTCTGTACTGAGAGGAGGCGGTGCCTAAAAGCCGAACCCAAACCCTAAGCAGGTTTCCTGCAAGCTGTTCCAAAGGGCAGGTGATCCACAAACACCTGGATCTGATCATGCCCTAGAGTATGCCAAGAACATCCCCTCCAGTTCTGACCCACAGCTTGATTCTGGCCATAAGGCAGCGGAACTGACTGGCAGAGGAATTGCCCTGTTCACTAGCCTAGTGCCCAATATGCCCCCACCCCCACTTTGGCTGTCAGTGCAGAGGGCATGCCCAAGAGTTAGGGGGTGCTCTGCCACTGGGGTCAGAGGAGCAGGCATAATTTACAGCAGCTCCAGGATGGCTCTAACTTACGCTAGCCAGCAGCGGTACGGGTGGCTTTTGGCATCTTTTCCCACTCCCATGTTGCACTGAGATCAGCTCAGCCGCAGCCCAGGATCAGGGCCCAGGACTTTTCAGTAACCAGGCGTCACCCTGGCCTCTCAAGCAACAAACCTGTGGTTCTAACCCTGGGCACTTGTAGTTAGTGTGGGGTAGATGCCCACGCACTGTGGGCATATTGCATGGAGCGGATGGTTTCTAACAAGCTATGGCATATTACTTCAGGAAGGGCACAGCAAGCTGGGCTAAGTACCCCCGCCATGCTATCTTGGGGCCTTCTCTCCCCCTCCTGAACTGTTCTCATTACTTTTGTATTTGGAAAAGCCTCTGAAAATTTAACAAGCTGCAGCAAAGGGCTGCCTTATTAGCTAGCAGACTGCAGGCAGCGCCAGGAAGCATTGTAAGTTATAGCACATCTAAAAGGAATGTTCCATGGTGAACTTTCTGAAACACTCAGAGGGCTGCTCTCCTCTGAGTCCAAACGATTGCACTTCCGCTAATGCTGAAAAATAGCCATTCTTTTTAGTTTAAAGATGTCCAGCTTGGATGCCTTGAAAGGTTCAGAGATATCAGGCTGATAACCCAGCTCCTGAATCCAGAACGGGCCATTACTTTTCTGAGAAAATCATGTCCAGAGGCAGAAAGCAAACTATGTTTTTTTAATCGATTATTATTATTCCATTCCACACTGAAGCATTGATTAATGCCCAAGATATATGGCACACCAGGAGATTCCAGAACCACTGTTTATTACAATAATCAAATTGTCTCATTGTTACCTTGTTCTCCCTTTCTTTGCTCCAACTAGTATCTCTCATCCTACTCTTAGACAGTGAGTTTTGGGGCCAGGACCCTCTTTTCATTATATGTGGGTACAATGCCCAGCACAATGAGGCCTTGAAACATGATGGGGGCCACCAGGTACTACCACAATTCAAATAATAATGTACTAATATTAGCAGCCCTATAACAGGCTTCTACACAGGAACGTTCCATCTTTCTTCTCATCTCTTGTGATGAATGAGGTCATCATATGCCAGTGAAGACAATAAAGTGTGCAATAAAAATCATAGCCTTTCACAAAGCAATACGTTTGGGCTGTCGGTCATGGCAACAGAAAGGGACCAGGAAGATTTGGGAATAGCCGGAGAGAGGAGATACGTAAGGGGAGTGCTGAGAAACTCAAGGTACATTATCCAGCAGGTGAGCGCTAGGAGACAAGGGCGGGACAGGAGACCGACCTGAGGAAAAGACTATTTATTAGACTGAACCATTGGATAACGTTACGCACAAGGCTACAGTCCTAGCTTGGAGGTGCCCCAGACCTCACCCTAGTGCGTGGAGGCTTTGCTGGAATTCCAGCAACATCCCTGCCTGTGCCTCCTGCCTTGAGGGATCCACGCTCATCCAGCACCCACAGTGGACAAACCTAGGCCATTCGTGTATGGCTGTGCAGAAGGCAGTTCGTCCTGCTCTGGGTGTTGGTGGGGACTGGATGAGAGAGAGCACCTGGGTCTGGGTCTGCTGGATGAGAAACCAAGGCTGACAACGTCATGCCTATGGCGTTAGTGTGGTGCATGCAAGCCCATTAAACTCCCTCTCTCTCCAGTCTCCTCGGCAGCCCTCTCCCCTGGAATTAGTGCTTTGTTTGTGAGCCAGCTGAGTCTACGGATCTTGGTATAAATACACCAGCTCCAAAGCAGCCATAAAATGCTATTAATTTTGGGAAGCACTATAGGGATAACATACATATTTAACAGCCAAAGCGCTGAACATTAGGATGCCACTCGCTCCGTAATGTATCTCCTGGTCTCAAACGTTTCCTAGGGGGTAATTCTGATCTCTATGAACCACTTATTCACAGACTATTTCACAATTTATTACTGAAAATGGCCAGACATCCAATTCACAAGCTCCCTCGGCTTGCTAATCGATTTCTCAGTGAAGGTGCCCTCAATTTCATAACTTCACAGTTCTTGTATTGCTCAGGGAGAGTGGCGCTGGCTGCTGGGGTAATATTTCTCTTCCAACAAGTCACCGCAATATGAGCAAAAGGCAGTGAGGGGGTGTGGGGAGGAGAGGGGTGAACAACCTTTCCTGCTTTTCCTTTTAAAGATCCCTCCTCTGGCTTTTCTTCTGTCATTTACACCTACGGAGAAGAGACAAAGGGCAGCAGCAAACGTCAATAAAGTTTAGGGTTGTATTTTACTTCTTAGGAGCCAATTTATGAAAATGCATTTATTGCACAACTCAGTGTGCCAATCCCATCGTGTCCCTCACGCCGTGAGTCACAAGGCTGCAGGTGGCTTTGCATTAGGCATGCACGCGCCCATTCCAGCACACAGAGCCGAGCAATTAGAGGGTGGTGATTTGCTCTATTGACGCTTTCGAACTGGAATGTGAGCATAAAGCTTAGGGACCTTCGTGGCAGTAGAACTGCTAGAGCGGACAGATTAAAGTGCTGGCTAGAAACCGGCTTCCTCGCTCTGCGGATGCACCTCACTCCTGCCTTGCGCCACTCCCACTACAGCAGGGGTTCAAACTGGGGGTCAGGACCCCGCAGGGGGTCACGAGGTTATTACATGGGGGGCGGGGCGTGAGCTGTCAGCCTCAATCCCAAGCCCTGCTTTGCATCCAGCATTTCTAATGGTGTTAAATATATAAAGAAGTGTTTTTAATTTATAAGGGGGGTCGCACTCAGAGGCTTGCTATGTGAAAGGGGTCACCAGTACAAAGGTTTGAGATATTCCAGATCCAGACCCCAGCTCAGCTCTACCAATATGTCTCGCTTCTGAGCTGACGTATCCCCTCCTCCAGCATTCCTCAGTCCTGGCCCTGCAGCTCTCACTGCTGCTCCAGCCTTCAGCCTCACACACCTGGGCTGGTGCATCATTTCAGTAATACCAGCTACCCCCATCCAATAATTTCCCCTTGTGGCACCGCACTACATTTTAATTAGATACAGATGGACGAGGGCAGGGCGGGAATAAGTCTCTGCTCAATCTCTTGAGAGTTGAAATAACCTCGGGTAATTCCCCCACCGCTGACCCCTGGCCTCCACCTAGGGTTCATATCACTGTGCATGGCATTTATTTTGTATTATTCACCCAGCTCTATCTCCCACTTACAGGGACTGGCTCCAGCTCACATAACCTTGCAGTCTTTCTGCTGGGCCTGATTCAAATTCCTCAGACCAAAACTTTCAGAACAAGCAAAAAAAACAAAAAATAATGTAAATTCAAAAGAATAAAAACAAAACAAAACAGATGCCCCCCGCCCACCCGATGGCCAGAGGTATCCCTGCAGCACCCTGCCTCTACCTCCCCTGAAGAACTACACAGTTCACAGCATTTCAGACATACCCCTTCTAGGGTCCAATTTATTCAGGCCTGAGTTCAACACACGAGTTCAGTGTCTCTCTCCCCCGTCCTTCTTCCCTGAGCTGGGTCCAGGTCAAGTCACTCCCAGGCTTGCCCGGGCTGGAATTCAGCCTCCTGGCTCTGACTTCTCAATTCCCCTCTTTCAGATTCTTCCCTGCAGGAGCTTTTTTCACCCCTGAATTTCCCTCCTCCCTACAGCTTCCTGCTGCCCTTTAGAGGGCAATGAGCTGTGCTCCATCAGGCCCCGACGAGTCTCGTGGCATGGGTGGGCCGGAGCCATTCCGGCAGTAATGGGGCTTTTCTGCCTGAGGCCTCCAGCCCGTAAGGTCAAAGCCACCCTGTTACATTGTGCAAAAACTGACCCTGCTCCAGGAGCCTGAGCAGAGATGTCCAGAATCTGAGTGAGCGGGAACTGCCAAAGGGCCTTTTGTTCCAGCATTTCCCCTAAGGCAGTGGTGGGCAACCTGCAGCCCGTCAGGGGAATCCACTGGCGGGCTGCCAGACATGGTTTACATTGGCACGGCTGCCCGCAGCTCCCAGTGGCCATGGTTCGCCGTTCCTGGCCAATGGGAGCTGCGGGCGGCCAATGTAAACACTGTCTCGCGGCCCGGCAGCGGATTCCCCTGAGGGGCTGCAGGTTGCCCACTACTGCCCTAAGGGCTCTGCAGTAGCTTCTGACTGGACCATTCTTTTGAACAACTGTAGCCAGTGGGATCCATTGTTGTTGCTCCTGATGCTGATGCAAATGGCACCAGGGTGCTTTATCTGTGCAGAGATATCTCTGGGGAGGGAGGAGGGGAGTGTGTGTGTGTGTGTGTATGTGTGTGTGTGTGCACCTCCTGGGATCAGTACAGTATGAAACTTCTGAACAGCGTGTGTGTGTGTGGGGGGGGGGATAAGAGGAGAAAATGACCATCTATTTTTACTCTGCAGTCTTCCTTGCAAAGCCAGGCACGAAAGCAGCATGGTATGGGCTAAAATAAGACAACCAGAGGCTCCTGAAGCACATTCACACCCGGGCGTTTGAGCAGAGCCACTCAGCTGAGAAAACGTATTGTGCCAACGAGCACAGAGAAGATGGAGCCGCTGTGTGTCAGGTGTGGGTTATTTTGATGCTGGGTGGTGGTTTCATTTTAGGAAGTCAGGCCTCATTACCCAAGTGGTCCATCTAATTCCATTACCCAGCCTCTTAACATGCCAGACCCGACCATTGCTCTGTCAAGTCCAGTATCTCCCATCCTTTCTGCTGCACTGGATCAGGTTACATAGCTACCTTGTCCAGCCTCTGTCGGGAGATGTGATTACACCAGGGTGTTACTGGATAGCAGTGTCACAGCACGAGTGCATCATTTGCAAGATAACGATGGAACAAATGTTTTTTAATTACTACCTTCCTTAGTTTTTATCACTCTTGGAAGGAGAGGGCTATCCCCCAAGCAGAGCAAAAGTCAAACATGAAGAACCCCAAATTATCTGTTGTGCCTTGGTCAGAATGATGTTTCAGGGACTGGACTAGCAGGAGCTGCAGGCTGGGAGTGAGGTGCATTGGCAGAGCTGTGTGTGAGCTAGAACTGGAATGGCAAGGGGTTCTTCAGGTGAGGCTCGAGGTGCATGAACAAAGAGATGGGCAGAGGATACATTTCACACTGCTTGTAACATGGCACTGGGACAAACACTTGTCCTTCTCTTTTATGAATACCCAGTTCACACGCACACATTCTTTTAGGAACCCTAGACAATACGTCGTAAAAGACGATACTCGCTAAACCCTACATGACCTAGCAGTTCTTTCCCATCTCTAACATCCATGATTCTTTGACAGAAGAGGCTCCTTGAAGGCACTGCATGGAAATTGGCCAGGAAAAATTATTGGCATAAACAGTATTTCAAACCTGATCTACGCAACCTGCCGAAGTTTCGTTATAGTTTATTTGTTCTAGGTACAGCGTTATTTCCTGTTGCTGCCAATTGGCACGGCATGACCCAGCATTGTGTAACACAGCCAAATACAAACCAATGCGACTAGTCATCATTCATTAGATGTTAAATAAAAATTCATTCTGATCTGATGCCTGCTATCAAATCCAATAGGGAAGGCGAGAACTAAATACAGTGTGACAGTTGGAGACAGAGAAGATCGGTTAAGTATCCATGGTTTGCTGGATAACTCAATTACTTTTGGCTAGGTTGTCACATACGTAGTTATGAGGGGAAAGAGACACAAGCGCTGCAGTTATAACCCGTGTGTATAAATGAATTCTGGGATAGTGAGAAGTGACAGATTGGCAGCTCTGGAGCATGAAGTACCCGCAGAGCGGGTACAACACAGGCAGTGGCAGGACAAGGACCCCGGTGGTACCCACCCCACCTCCTGGCATGGAGCTTCAACTCTGACCTTGAAGGGCCTCATATAGAAGCAAGAGGAGGGTTCAGTCTCTAAGGCCCATGAAGCCACTGGTCTCTCTGCTAAGATTGGCAGCAGGGCGGCTAATTTGGGGCTTTTGTGCCCTTGGAGTTATGGGGGCATCTGTCCAATAGAAAATCTGCTGAGACTGACAAGTCACTTCATAGAGAGCCACTGAGTAGCCACCTGATGCTAATGGCAATGTGTGACAGAATGTGCCCCTCCTTAGATCAGTGACAGAGAGAGGAAGAGACCCTCTAGCCGCTTCTTAATCCCCCGAGCCACCAAGGCCCCAGAAGGGAGGACACTGAGGCATGTGTTTGCTCTTATTTTTTTGCTGTAACGAGAATAGTTACATCTGAAGCAGACACCCGCCCCTCTCCACTGCCTCTCCTGCTAGTCAGTCAGGCCCTTGCACAGCCTGTGCGGTATGCTAGTTAAGAGCCTTTCTTGTGCCCAGTGCATGCAGCCCCTCGCTGGGCCTTCAGCACGCACCGGGTCAGAGAACATACCTGAGATTCAGCTCAAGAGTTGACGTGGAGGTTAAGAAATGTGCAGCAGGAACAAGAAGCAGCCTCATGGCTACTGGAAGTGTGGTGGCGTCTAGCCAGCAACACACTGAATCACTTAGTTGTTTGGCACGTGTGGACAAGGAGCAGCTGTTTCTCGGGAGTGTGAGAACAGCAGGAGATGCTGCAGCTTAGCACCTTACATGTGCATTGGCAGAGCTGTACGTGGGAGTTTGTGCAGCACCTGCTTGCGCCCTGTCTCAGCCCAGCCAGCACGCTCGCACTCTCTCTGGGCACCAAATTCCCTCTCCTCCTCGTATTCCTCTTCCTTTGAGTTCCGTTGCCTAGATACACAGGTATTGAAATGCCTCTGGGTGCAGACAGAATAGCCATTCACTCCGCACCGTGTACATCATTTCTAGGAAGTACCAGCTAGCTCCCATAAGAGCTCTGTTCAGTCACGGCAGCAAGGAAGTGACGAAGTTCTGGAGTGACAATGGTGCCATAAACCCAGGCCTGCCTGCCAGGCAATGAAAGCTGGTATCTCCACCAGGTCTGCTGTGTGCTTGGTTGTCTGGGTAAGTATTCAGTGGGCCAGATTTTCTCTTGGTCTAAATCATGCTGCTGCATTGATGTCAATGGTGCCATTTTATACCGACCAGATTGACTCAATATCTTTTATTTTAACCACTAATGCAAACCCCGCCCCCAACTGTGAATTCTAACACCGATGAAAATATTGCAGGATAGTCACCCTTTATAGTGGGCTCTGATGCCTCAGAGCCCTTGCTCAGCATATCCACTAGCCTTGGCTTCTCTTCAGGTGGCTAACGTGCCCAGAGCAGCAGTCCCAGCTCGCAGGGAGGAATACATCTGTTACCAGAATCATTAAATGATCGCCCCAGCACATTCCTCAAGGCCTGATTTCCAAAACTCAAACCCCGGACAAACCAGCACAAACTACTGGCTACAAAGCACCCATGGTCTATCCAGCTCCAGCCAGGTGGGAGGAGAGAGAACCCACCTTTTCTCCATGGTAGCCTCCTCTGCACTAGCTTCCCCTTCCCTTTTATAACCCCACCCAGATCAGCCATGTGCTAGCAGGTGCCTGGGGGCCATCGCACCTTCTCATGGGGCAGCCACGGGAGGTAAAATGTTGCTAACTAGTAGAGGTTAATTGGTCACCATGAATGAGCCAATATTTGCCAACCGTGTGCACAGGACAGTACCTAGGGCACTGAAATCTCAGTGTCTCTTTTCTCTTGTTATCTTAAGTAAAGCGAAGAGCTGTGGTGTCTCAGGCACTGCTGTGTGGCAACTGTTGGTGCCTTATTGGTGACCAGCGCAGGATTCTGACCTCGCCAATAGCACAGGGGAGCTAGGAGAGAGCCCCGAAACATAAGGCCAAAAGCAAAGGGACTGGCAAAGCTACTGCAGCATTGCAAAGCACCAGAGAAGTCACACATTTCCAGCCATTTATATACGGATGAGAAATACAAGCCTGCAGCCTCCTACCAGGACAGTGGTGACAATAAGAGATCTGTTGGTTAGTGAGTCTGTGACGTTGGGTCCTCGCCCCTTGGAAATTTCCGTGATGTTCAAACCATCAGATGGGTTCCACACTCCAACCTGAAATGAAACAAAGAAACAATTTACTAGACACTTGACGTGTGTTGTTCAGCCTCTTCCAGGATCCCACAGACCTGGCTGAAGGGAAGCTAGTTCTGTCTTCTGCTGCACAGGCAAGCGAAGCTGAACAGACCGTGTTGGCCAACCTAAACAGAAGAGAAAGTGACACTAATCCTGCACTTGCAGACCACTCCAACAGTCACCCATGCAGAGCAGACATTACAAATACCTAATGCCTTTCCTTTTTGCTGCCCTCTAAATGGGGGCACTGATACCTGTGGACAAATATGGAGGTCCATGATGTCTAGAATTCAGGAATTCATTCAACAGTGGACAATAGCGCCACGCAGTACAGGAGCTCAGAATACACTGACCAGGAACTTTGGCCAAACCTCACAGTGATTAGAGATATTCCTGAAACAAAGATTCCCCAATGCAAGTGTCTTAAGCTTTGGTGAACAATGGAAACCCCAGATTCTAACACTTCCAAACTTGTGAAGAGTTAAAAATTTAGATCATAATTTTGCAGCTTGGGCCCATCTCCTATAGGAACCAAAAAGAGGTCATGGGATGTAGCCAAACACAATACAGGCTTTGGCTGCACACAAGGGATGTGTTCAGACAGTATTTAGAGTCATTTGTGATGGAAGGAGTCTTGTGGGTCATATAGACCAGAGGACAGGGGCTGCTGTCTCGATCACTCGATCCTTCCCATATTGTTAAATGGGAGGTCATTGCAGCTAGAGGGGAGGAGAATTCTGGTATAGAAAAGGTTGAGAACACAGCTGGCTGGAAAATGGTATTTCTGATGAAACTTTAAAAAATAAGAAAATATTTTGGGGGTGGTTGCTGGAATTTTGGGGGTTTTAAAAAAAACAGAGAAACATAAAAACATTGTTTGGTTTCCGTTTTCAAAAGTCTAAAAGTGTTTTCATTGAAAAAACTAGCAAGTTTCAAAAGAAATAAAGAATTTCCATGAAAACTTGTTTCTTAAAAAAATAAAAAACACAGCCAAATGGGATCGAAGTTTGCAGTGCCACTGCCCTGGCTGTACCTATTTTATGGGCAGCATCGCCTAGGCTTTCAATCTGGCACCTTCTCTGCAGCACTGGACTCATAGGTGCAGGAAATAGGGGTGCCGGGGGTGTTCCAGCACCCCTGACGAGACTTAGAGGTACATGGAATATCTGTGACTTGAATCACAATTCATAGTGTATCCTATGTATTTCCTATCTGTTACGGTGTGAAAAATGTGTCTGGTGAAGTCGGGCTCTACCATACACACTAATAGGGAAACTATAACCTTATGAAATCTCCTGTCTGGTTTGCATGGCAGGGTTGCTATCGTTAGTCAATTCCCCCATGGATGGAGCACTCATTTCCGCCAATGGAGAGAATATTGTCCCTGGATCTAGCGCACAACATGAATGTGAGAGGAGGAATTTACTCCAGTAATTAATTACGATTTCTCCATTCAAATAATTTTGTCCTAGGTGAGAGGGTTTGATTTCCCCGGGAGATCACAGTAGCCTTGGAGAGAGAAGTGCTGAGAGGCACTGGTATTAGAGAGAGAGTTCAGAAATATGAACTCCTGTAATACCCTGGATGTGGTCAGATTCCACATTCCACCAGTTCCACTCAGGGCAACTGCATCGAAGCGGAGGGCATAACATTAGTGTTATGGAGTGGAGACCAAGCCCATCTGCATTTAATTTAGCTCCATTTTTCACCAACTTGAAAACTAGTAACATTGGGAATGAATATGAGCTGGACACAGAGCATCCGGCCAGGAACTCCCGGCTATCCACTTCTAACGGGGGATGATTACCCTACAACTGCCCATCAGGGAGTTCTTGCACCTTCCTCTGGAGCAGCTGGCGCTGGTCACAGTCAGAGACAGGATCCTGGAGTACATGGACCATGCGTCTGATCCAATCTGGGAATTCCTACGTTCCTTTATAAAGTGTCACAAACAGGGGCCAAGTGTTCATTTTAATCAGTTCTCTTCTGCGGAGAGATAGAGGGCCAGATCTTTAGCTGAGGTAAAATGTCACCGTCTCTTTAAAACCAGGGGAGCTAGGACGATTTACACCAGCTGTGGAACTGGTCCAGCGTCATCACCGATATTTGGTCCAATTCCCTTTTAAACGAATGCAAACACACATGGCCTGCCTGCCCTCCAGCTGCAGGAATAGATGCGGCATGGGATGATACAATTCAGGTCCCCTTTCTGTCCAGCCACTATCTATATTTTACTGTTGTTAAAAGCCTTTTAACAGCCCGACTGCAAATGCGAAAAAATAAGGCAAAGAGACTTATTGGAAAGGAAACGCTTTCAGTAAAGCGCTATGTTTAACATCTGAACGCACGTTCCTCCACCTTCATGGATATAGCTAGGTAACAACGTGTTTGCCGTATTATTATTTATATTGCAGTGGCGTGTAGCAGCCCTGTAGCACTAGACGTTCTGGAAACAAAGTGCGAGACAGCCCCTTACTTGAGGAGCTCACAGTCCAAAAAAAAAAACAGACAAAGGTGGGAGGGGAATAGGGTGACCAGACAGCAAGTGTGAAAAATCGGGACGGGAGTGGGGGGTAATAGGAGCCTATATAACAAAAAGACCGAAAAATCGGGACTGTCCCTATAAAATTGGGGCATCTAGTCACCCTAGAGGGGAAGCCAAGGCCGTGAATTACCCATCATCACAGAGAAGCTTAACAGCACAGCTGGGACTAGACTCCAAATCTCCTGGATCCTGATCCAGTGCCCTATCCACTCTACCACACTGCCTCCCGATTTTAGACCCGACTGATCTTTTGTAGAGTCTTTCATACCGGGAGGGATCTCACACCACTTGACCAACGCTAACCATTGTCCGGTGAGACAGCATTTTACCACTGGGCAAGCTGAAGCTCTGGGAGGGGAAAAGGCTGGCGATAGCCACGCAGAGTGCCCCCGGAAGAGTTTGACTCCTGGGCCTACCTGGCATAAAGAACCGCTCCAGTGACGCCATTGTGCTGCGCACATTTACATCTAAAGATGATCTGGCCCCTCGTCGTCCTGCTGCAACTGCTACTCCGCACTCTCTCCCAGACCTCGAGAATGCAGGTTTAAAATCTCCTGGCATATTCAAACCTTGTGGCTGGTTGTCTAATGCTGCCCCTTTGACGCTTGTTATGCCCCCAGATAGACAGAGACAGAGACACAGCAAATAGGAACCGCAGAATATACAGGTCGATCCATCTACGAGGCCACATGAGTGATGGAAACTTGAAAACAGAGAGTCCACAGACCAATCCCATTGCGGGGCTAGGAGCTTCAGATTATTGATTTATTTATTTATGTTTTTTGTTTCCTTGATTGTTTTTCTTTCTTTTCTATTTTTTTTTAAATAATTCAATCTCCCCAGCAACCTCTGGCGAGAACCTGGTTTTACTGCATTCACAGAAAGGGTTTTTGAACAATGAATGCTGTTTGGCATGAACAGTATAAATTTTAAAAGAGTTTCCGTGAACTTTCTGAGAATCCCTAAATATTTTACAAAAGCCAGGCATTCCTCCATCCTTCCTTCCAATCACGCAGCAGTTAAAATGTCAGAAGATTATTATTGTTATAGGGAAGAGAAGCAATAATATAAAGAGCCTTTGGCAGTGCTACCTACTCAGCTAAGAATCCCTTGCTAAGTTTTCCTTAAGAAAAATGAAATACATGGAACTCAAGTCTGCATTAATTAATTTAAAAATTAAAATAAAGAAAAAATGCAAATATTCCATTAAGAGAACTGTGCAAGTCGGATAGTCAAACAACATGTAATTATGTTTGGGTAATACTGCTTTAATCCTCAGAACATCCAGGAGGTAGCAGGATCAGAAGCACAATCCTAAAGCTCAACAAATATAAGCTATTATACATAATGCAAAGTACATATTGGGATTCACTCCGTTTGGCATTTCATTATTTCAGATTAGCTATTAACAGAATCTTAGTGTCCACAGAGATTTGACATCGATACTTTAAAACCTTTCCAGAGTAGACAAAAAGCTTTTTTTTTTTAAAAAAAAAGCAGAGAGCTACAAAACCTCATGACTAGATGGAGATTAAACATAAAAGCTGAACATCCTTGAGGAATATGCTTCAGGGTTTGGCAGTTTCCCGTGAGCATTACGTGACACCCAGTAGTAATAAATACCACTAGGGTCAGCAATTCTATCATACAGCTGAGGAGTACTACATTGACTGAGAGATATTTTGGCAGTACTTTAAGGTTCAGATTCACATGGTATCCAAAATGTCTGTCATTTTTGCCTATTACTCTACCGGGATCATTACTGGTAAGCAGTCCACTGGCACAGGGAGCTGGGTGGGCTGATGTTACCAGTGGCACCAATCCTAGCAACCCACTTTGCAAGGTGTCAGTCAGCAACCCCCTAAGGGGAAAGCAGCAATGAATCAGTCCCCAAGGTTTCTCCCATCCCTAAGTTTGAAGGCTCTCTAACCGTGGATAGCTAGCTCACGGCACTATCTGCAGCCTGCTTTGAGCACAGCCCATGCGAATAGGTGACTCTTGGTATGCATTGTCCACGGTGCAGATCTTTGTTCTATTCAGGCAACTTGCTGCTCTGTTTTGTCCACTGAATGAACTGCTCTCTCCTTGAAAATGATGTTTTAGGAGTTTTAATGCTTTGAGTATTCTTTGTTTTTTTAAGCGGTCCATGAAACAGGAATGAAATCCCCATGAGCACCTGAGAATCAGACCTGCACTTCAGTGGCATTATATCCTTGTATCCAGCAGGGATCTGTGCTAATTACAAGAATTCTACACGGTTGTGTTTGTGCAGCTACCTTGCGTCCCCAGCAGCAGGATTGCTGCTGCAAAAACCTCCACATCCAAATGGGAAATTTCCAATCAGGCCAGGAAACTAACCTGTCCTCATTTTTTTCGTACCCTCTCTCAGATATCAAAAAACAACAAAAAACATACATTATCATCTCCTCCAAAACTCAGGCTGCAAGTGGGCCAATCAGGGCTGTAACAAACGTGGGATATTTCCAGGCCTTAGGCAATTTTCATATCAGGAGATCACACCGAGAGGGGGGCTTTAAAGAGCTGCTGGCACCTCCGGGAAAACACTTCATAAACAAACTGTAGCATGTAGGCAGCACTTGGGTTGGGCTTTTTGCCCTCCCATCATTGGCATGGAAACAAAACACAGGCTCCTGACTGCTCAGGAAGTTTCTTCTGCTTCTGCAGCTCCACCATTTCCCATGTGTGTTACCACAACAATCTTACATGGCAACTAATTGTGACAACTTGGGCTGCGGGTTCAGGTGTGTGAATGAGTGTGTGTGTGTGTACGTCAGGAAACAGGAGCAGAGCAATTCCAAGGCAGCAAATATCCTTACGTCGAACACAGAGGCAAATATAGGAGCTATGAGGCTGATGCACCGTTTTCCAGGGGGCCTGAGTGGATCTTTTGAAGGTTTCATAAACTCTTTAGCTAGCAGGAAGGACAAACTTTACTGACCTTTTCGAGACCATCTTCTTTGAGGCTGATGATGTCCAAGTCAAAATCTGTCCTTAATCCACTGGTTTTGTTGAAGACAATACGCCCAGTTAATCCTTCCCATTGGGCCTGTGGAAGGGAGAGAAGTCAGCACAGCAGTTACTCGGCTTCATAAATCATCGTTTGCTACTGCTGTACAGTGCTTCATTTTAATTACTCCTTACACTGATACTCTCTCCCCGACGAGCATGATTAATTAATAATCACCTCCATCATTGCTCATGCTGCAGCACGGGCTGGAGCATTCCATAAATTCTATTATACTCCTTGCCCTGATTTACATTTGCACCTTTTGTGTACAACATCGATCTCAGGACGTGTCCCTGGCACGCTGGGTCGGTGCAAAACTAGCTGTGTTTCTGCTCGTGTCTTTGCAGCTCTGACAACGTCTGGGGGAGGGTGGGGGGGCGTCTTTCAGCATTGGACAACGCCACTCGAACACATAAACAAATCTCCCTCACCTGCCTCCATGCCGGGGTAGCGCAATGTTTATTTACCCTTTGCAAGGTGCTTTGGAGTTGAAAAGTGCTAAGTATTTTCGCCTCTGTTTTTCAGATGGGGAAAGTGAAGCGCAAAGAGGCAAAGACCTGCTCGATGCTTGGAAGTTTGGGGCTGAATGCTCAGAAGGAGTTGGTCACCTAAGTTCCAGGGCTGGGGCCACTGCAATGCATAAAACTCCAGCTGAAACCGGGCAGGCATCTCAGCGCACTCCATGCTTCAGTTTTTGCAGTAAAAATTCCGGAAGCACGTCTCTCCCTCCCTTGGGCCAGTGAACGGCTGCAGAGCCTGGGGATTTGAGCACTCGCCCAGCATGGGGAGATCTAGGATCCAGTCCCTCTGCTTCAATAGCTCATTATTTATCCACAGTGCAACATCTTCAACAGGAGAGACTGCAGGACTCCCCTCATCAGAATATCCCACAGCTCTCACCTGAGAGGAGGCAGATCCCCGTTCAAATCTTTTTCCCCCTTCAGATGGGGGAAGGGGACTGGAACAGGGCCCAGGGATGTCCCTTCTCCCAGGTGCGTGCCCTAACCACTGTTATGAGGGAGGTTGCTGTCCTTCTCCCCCCTTGTCCTGGGCTTCATGCTAAAATGTCATCGGGACCCTAACTCCAAAGCGGGGTCCTGGCTGAGAATCGCAAGCAGAGCTAGCGCTCCCTGCCACCTGGACTGGCCCCGATCTCTGGGAGGGGGTGGCACTTGGCACCCCTCTCCCACTGGCTGGCTTGGGCAGCTCCCCGCTTAGCCTGCTGGCTTTTGTGAATCTCAGTTTTGGTGCCTATCTCTGCCCAATCATTGTATAAAAACAACGAGGAGTCCGATGACACCTTAAAAACGAACAGATTTATTTGGGCATAAGCTTTCATGGGTAAAAAACCCACTTCTTCAGATGCATGGAGTGAAAATTACAGATGCAGGCATAAGTATATATTGGCACATGAAGAGAAGGGACCTTACAAGTGGAGAACCAGTGTTGAAGGCCAATTCAGTCGGGGTGGATGTGGTCCACTCCCAATAATTGATGAGGAGGTGTCCATACCAAGAGAGGGAAAATTGCTTTTGTAGTGAGCCAGCCACTCCCAGACACTATTCAAGCCCAAATTGATGGTGTTAAGTTTGCAAATGAATGTTTGAAGTGGGTTGTTTGAATAAAGAAGTGGGTTTTTTACCCACGAAAGCTTATGCCCAAATAAATCTGTTAGTCTTTAAGGTGCCACCGGACTCCGCATTGTTTTTGTGGATACAGACTAACACAGCTACCCCTCTGATACTTTGCATTCATTGTATAGGCGCCTAGGCCACTTAAATCAGGCAACGTGAATTGCAGTGATCTTCCAGGCACCTAGAAGTCAGTCGTTATGAGGCTGAGCATCACAACCCCCAAGCCCTTTCGAGCATTTGGCCCTTTGCCCCTTTTACTATGCCAGTGTTTTTACAGCAGCAACCCTGCACCCCAGGGTAGACTCACATAAAAGGCTTATGAGAGTAACTCTTGGTCCACTTTGGCAAAGAGAAATAAGCTCTTTTGGTACAAAGCACCTTATACCAATCTAGGAGTTTTACCAGCATAACTACGTACGTGAAACTTCGCAGCCCTAACTAGTTACACCCCTAAATCTTTTGAAGTGTACCCCAGGCCTCAGTGACTAGCCCAGGGCAGGGCCGGCTCCAGGCACCAGCTTGGGGCGGCCACTCGGGAGAGGGGCAGCACTTCCAGCTATTCGGCGGCAATTCGGCGGACAGTCCCTCACTCCCACTGGGAGCGAAGGACCTCCTGCCGAATTGCCGCCGCAGATCGCGATCGCGGCTTGCTGCTTTTTTTTTTTTTGCCGCCAGGGTGGGAATTAGACCTAGGGTGACCAGATGTCCCAATTTTATAGGGACAGTCCCGATTTTGGGGTCTTTTTCTTATATAGGCTCCTATAACCCTCCACCCCCGTCCCGATTTTTCACATTTGCTGTCTGGTCACTCTAATTAGACCTCAGTTGCTCCTGGCTTCCAATCCTGTGCTCAAACCATTTGAATATGTTTTTCTCTGAGGCCTGCTGATGGTAGCACCAGCCAAATGCATCATTAAATAACACCATTACAAAACCCAGCAACGAAAAACCTTCCCACTGCTTCCCACAAACTGCTTATTTCTTCTTTTAAAAAATAAACATAAATAACTTCAGATTCTTTGGACTTGGGAAGTCAGTCACTGAACTTCTCGGCCCCAGCTCAGAAGTCCATCCCTGTTCAGCAAAACACGTGAGCACACGCATAAGGGATTGCACTGGCCCCCTGGGCACGCAGCTGTCTTGAACTGCAGCCCCTTTCTGGGGCGGAGGGATAGCCCGGCATGGTGGGGCAGGGAGATCTGCAAATGGATATGGAGCCAATCCCACTTTGATGAAAAGTGCAATGCTATTGTCACTGCCTTTCTGTCTCAGAGCGACTCTCCTGGTGTTTTAATAAACAACAGCACAGAAATTAACCTCCCTGGTTTAAGGGGCAGGAGAGGTCTGAAGAATGGCTGCTGCTCCTGTAGGCTAAGTGGTGATTAATGTCACCGCAGTGTGCAGTGCTGGCCCTGGAACGTCTAGGGACAGCAAGGGGCAATTCTTCTGCTGTTTCTTGTGACATTTCCCTGAATGCAGGACACCCGGATTCCATCCTCCCGTACACACCAAGTGAAGTATGCTTGCCACGCTCTGAACTTTAGGCTGGTATTTCCCTGTTCCCTTTCCGAAATGCCAGACTGTTTGCATGCTTTACTGGTTTGACTCATTCCACTTGCGGAGTTCATCTGCAGCATGCTCTTCTCTAACAAGTGTATGTCCCTGGGGGGATGAGCCAGAAATAGCCCCTGATGATGAAGGTGGCACAAGCTGGGGGGATGACTGGCATGTTTCCCAGATCAAACCCCTTCCACTCTCCGCCGGGACACGCCTGGTTAATTCCTGAAGGAATGCTGCCCCCCACCTCCCAGGCCTATTGCCCTGTGTGTTCGGGGATGGCTGCACTCAATTTGCCGAGTTGAGCATGCAGGTGGGAACTACAGCTGGGAAGTTCTCTGGGACCCAGTGAACACACACAGTGTTCGAAGTACTGAGTCGGAAACAAACACAGATGTGTATTGAGCGCGTCACCTCCTCGCTGAGGCTCTAACTCTCCCGCTTCGCCCAACGCCGGCAGTTGATGGAGCTGGCAGAGCAGGGAGGCGTCACATTAATGCAGTGGCACAAGGGAAACGGAGCGCAGGCAGGGGCAGATAGAGCCAAGGAGAGCTCCCCCCCCTTTCCCTGGCAGCCGTAGGCAGCGCTCCCCCACATCGCCCCCTCTTCCTCAGTCTGCTGTACCCCTGAGCCCAGAGACACGGCACCTGCCTGTCACCCAGGGGGGTCTGTCTCCCCTTTGCTTTCTCATTTCCAAAATAAACTGGGACAAGGAAGCTCAGCCGCTTCCCCCACCTCCCCTCCCCAGAGCGCCGACTGGGTTCTCCTGCCCTCTGCAGGGCAGGTTGTTCTGAAGCTCATTGGCGTTAAATCTCTCGCTGGTGCTGGCCTCAGGATGCCCTGTGCTTGGGAGGCCCTCCCATTTCTGGAGCCGTAGAGGGGGTCCAGTGGGGTGGCACGGAGAAGGGAGGCCAAGGGAATATCGGCCTCACCTCCCTCTGCCTTGCCCATTGGTCCTGGCTTCCTGCTCCCCTACGAGATTCTGGTAGGTGATAGCAGCCTGCTAGCCAACGAGGCGACCCGCCTGGCTTCCTCTGATCCGTCAGCAGGATGCCGAGCTGCCCAGTCTCATCCCCGTGTCCTGTTCGGCTGCTGCTGCAGTGAGAGGTGCCCAACCCCCCCCCGACATTCTCAGGGCGGCAGTTCCCACGCAGGACGGGATGCCCTTGGCAAGTGATAACAAGCCAGGCCGTGCCCCTGGCGAATCACAGCTCTGAAAAAATCCTGCCGAAGACAAGGCCTGAGTGCGTGTTTGCCGGTGTGGCACGAACAAACATTGGCACAATTCTCTACGTGAGCAACACGGGGCTAAGGGGCCTGGTCTCTGCAGCGGGACATCCCTCTACATTTGCTGTTTTGTCCTTTCCGGCGCTCAGAGAGCACAGTTATTATGTGTTTTGGCTGCAGCAGAGGAAGCTTATCCCTGCGACTCGCTGACAGAGTGCCAGGAAGGGGAACCGCAGGCGGGCACTGGAGGGGAGGGCTCAGAGTAGTTTGCAAAAGGAGGCAACAAATGAAATGATTCAACACTCTCTTCTGGCAGCCGGCAGGAGCAGCTCCTTGCAGAAGGGAACAAACCGAGAGAGAGAAGAGGAGATTTTCAGAGCCTGCGAACTGGCAGTTCAAGGTCCCAGTAAAATGGGGATAATCTTTCCTTTCTCCCGCCCTTGGTCTGTCTCGTCTATTTAGATTGTAAACGCGTCAGGGCAGGGACTTTCTCCCACTCTGTGTGCGTACAGGCCCTAGCACAGGGGGATTCCGATGGGCCCGTAGGCACTACCACAATACAAATAAGAAATACACAATAAATAATGATCTTTTAATTGACTTTTCTGCCACAGAAACAAGAGAATTTAGTTTAACCATTGCAAAGCCTGGGAAGAAGAGAGAGAATTATTTCCACGGCTTCAATAATAGCATAAAATACTGTGGCCTGATTATACTAGTCCCATGTTAAAAGGCGCAGCCAGAGCAGTGTAACGGGGCCTTTGTGTAAACGAGAATCCAGCCCTTAATCCCAAAGATGCTTGCACCTATCTACTGGCAGGAGCACATCCCAGCCCCCCAACGTGCCCTTTGCGCAGCACTAAGGAACTGCCGCTCACCCCTCACTCTTCGTTAGTGTTTTCAGGCTAGGATCGTCTCCCAGGGAGGTGAGCTACGTTACACTGGCAGGAGCCGAAACACAGCAAGTAAGCAGAGGACAGCCCTGGGAAGAAAGTAGCTCCCTGAAACATGCCCTGCGTGGCTGCTCTCACAGGTGCGCTCCTGGCCACGTCTCGTTCCAGCCTCTCCGCAGGGCTGTGATTTGGTAAACTTGCTGCTCGCAATCACCAATGTTCCGCTGCTGTTTGCATGCGTAAGCCAAACAAACAGTTACGTGGGCTGAACCCCGGGAATTTATAATTACACAAAACAGAGGAAATGAAGTTCCCACTTCACTTCCCGGACTCCCATCTTACTAAATCCACTGTTCTGCCAAAACTGGGCAATCAGCACACGGGCAGAGATGCAAGACGCTGCCAGTTTTGCCACCAGACCTGTGTCAAGTGCTTTTTGTGGACACCAACCAACTGTTCCTGCAAAAGGCAAACAGCTCTCGCTCTGCTAGGAAACCGCCTTGTAAGGAGAGCAGCCCAGAGCAGGCACAGGTGAGCGTCTGTAACAGCACTGGAGATTTTAGCTCATTTCTCATGTCTTGCTGTGACCCCACTGAAACTATTCTGAGGATGTAAGTGAGATGTAAGTGGTGCATAAGCCTCATGCAAGCCTTTTGCACAGGGGTGAAGATCAACCATCTGCAAACATTTAAGAAGAACTGTAACTCACAGTGGTTTACACTATCAGTTTTTAGATCAACAAATGCACTTTTACAATTGACTACTGAGAGGCCCCAATCCAGGCCTGGACTCTCATTCACAGACACACTTGGGGTAATGCTCTAAAATGCCTCCTGTAAAAATATTCCAGTTCACCCAGAGCTCTGTCTGTGCTCCTGGTTAGGAGTGGAGTTTTCACACACGATTCAGCTGCATCAGGGATTTTTTTTTATACCAAGCCTCAACATGCACAGATCAAAGCAGCCCACCGATGGATGGGGCACCAGGCATCTCCAGCTTCAAATGGGGCCGACAACATGTGTGTGGGGACATTCAAACAGTGACAGCAGTGGCTGGAGACAAGACAGGCAAAGGGTACAAGCGCAGGGTCACACCTGAGCTAGGAAGAGAAGTTGGGGTTCTCGCTTCCCAGTCCAGGATCCTATCTACTGGACCACTGTGACTGGTCAGGTTTAGCCCTGCTCTCTCTCCACCAAAGTCAGGGGTGTTTCACCAGGATTCAGGTTAGCTCAGCAATGTAAAGACTCTAGTTACTGGCCTTTATCAGATGTAAGCTGCACAGTCTGTTCTATCACCACATTTACTTTCAAGCGCATCTTATTTGGTCCCAAAGGGGCCATACAAACAATCTGACTCCTGGATCCTTGCTCCCATCCATCTCTGCAAGGGTTGTCTGTAGTGCTCGTAAGTGCGTTGTCTAGCCACTATGCAGCTCCTAATTCTGGGCTCTGAACAGCTGCTCCCCACCCCCACGTTGCCGATGGAAGGTTTGCATCAATAAGAAGGAAGCTTTTACCTCTTTTATAAAATTCATAAAGCGGCCCCCGAACCTCCAGGCTTTGTGTCGATGGCACTGCAGGGAGTTAACAGTCATCTGTGGGGCTCGCTGGTAGCACACTGAGACGATGTGAACTGCGTCGTACAACAGGGCAGCATCTGTCTAAAGTAAAGGGGAACAGCATTTGGGTTGATAACAGTTCCAAAGCAAAAAGGCACTCATGCAGCAGAGGCAGCAAAGAGTCCTGTGGCACCTTATAGACTAACAGACGTATTGGAGCATGAGCTTTCGTGGGTGAATACCCACTTCGTCGGATGCATGTTATGCATGCATGCATGCATCCGATGAAGTGGGTATTCACCCACGAAAGCTCATGCTCCAAAACGTCTGTTAGTCTATAAGGTGCCACAGGACACTTTGCTGCTTTTACAGGTCCAGACTAACACGGCTACCCCTCTGATACTTAATGCAGCAGAGTGATTTGGTGCTGGTTCCATTTGGAAAACCCATGATCCATCTCATGCAAAGCTGCAAAAGCTTCTCTAAATTGTCCCCCGGTCGCCTCTGTCTTCTCACCTGCATCCTGACATCTTTCCTCCCTGGCGTCTGAAACACAATTGCACACGGCCTCCCTGGGGGCAGGGCTTTCGGCACTGAGGGGTTGCATCCTGCCGGCGGATCAGCCCGATGCTGCTGATCGGTTTGGGAGCTGCGGGCCAGGCACCTGCCAGCACATGCACAGTTGCCAGCAGCAGGGGGCTGAGAGCGTTTATGAGGAAGGCCTGGGTACAATGGTTTCATTGGAGAGCAGATTGATGGGACAGTTGGCACCACTGGTAAAACGGGGGTAGGAGGGAGCTGGATAAATAAAAAGCAAAGCCCAATGCAAGAACCAGCTGACCATTGCAAGGACACCTACAGTCACACTGACTCCTGGCTAATTGAGGGATCTAATCGTTCAGCCCTAGATGAGTGTAATCAAAGGCCTCATATCCGGCTCCCATTGAAGTCAACTGTAAAACTCCCATGGACTGAAAGAGAGCAGAACGTAGCCGTATTCTCTACATCGTTACAATGGTGAGCTCAACGAACTTCTAGAGAGTCATAGGTTTCAAGGTCAGATCACCTTGTCTGACCTCCTGTATGACACAGGCCATGGGAAACTTTGCTCCATGAATCCTGCATGAAGCCCATAACGTCTGTTTGAGCTATAGCGTATCTTGGAAAAACCCTGCATTATAACCAGACAAGCAGGTCCTCAATTCCCCTCTGGAGGGTAGATTTGGAACAGTCCATTCTTTATCCAAACAAGAACTGATCTAAAAAAAGTAATAATGTTTCATGACTCTGTGCGGAGGGAGGGTCAGAGAAGGGGGGAGATTTTTTGTTTCATTTGGAATTATTCCTGAATTATTTCTGGATTTGGACAAAAAGGTTTTGGATAACATTTTTTGTTTTGAAATTTTTCATTTCATTTTGGTGGGGGAAAATCTCACTCCACATTTGTATGTTTTTTTTTCAAAATTGTGGAAGAAAACCCACCTTCTCACACTTTTTTATTCTTCCCTCCACCAGGGTTAAAAAAAAAAAAGAGTAATCATAACTGGTGGTGAGGGGAATTTTCCCCCTAATTTAAAAACTAAAAAAGTTGTCAAAAATTAAAAACTTTGGTTTAAAATCATTTTTTGTGAAACCCCTTTAAAAAAGGCAGAAAAAATTTCAACCACTCCTAACCCTTGTCCATCAGGACAGAAAATATGTCTTTGGCTGAAATTTCAGACTTCAGCAGAACTTCGAAATAGCTACAGCTACAGAACAGCAAATAGGTTTGCTTTTTGGGCAGAACTTGTGTTTTTGTTCTTTTCGTTTTGTAAATGGGTAATTGTTATGTACACAACAAAGAAATTCTTCAGAACAGGAGGTTTTTTCCAATATGTGTTAGGTTACATTAAAAGGCCATAGTCATCTCTGTAAATCACAGACTACGAGAATGCCATCTCTCTATCTACGTCTTTTTTAGGTATCTCTAATGCACCTACCACTGTACTGTCTACATGTCACACAGAAAAGATTGCTAGCCCTTTTTAATGAAATGTCAGACAAATAGGGGATATAAAAAGGTTTTTTTTGACTGTAGCCCGTTTTCTTTGAGGATCTCAAAGCACTAGCACCGAAAAATAGTGGTACACCTCTACCCCGATATAACGCTGTCCTCGGGAGCCAAAAAATCTTACCACGTTATAGGTGAAACCGCGTTATATTGAACTTGCTTTGATCCGCCGGAGCACGCAGCCCCACCCCCGCAGAGCGCTGTTTTATCGCGTTATATCCGAATTCGTGTTATACTGGGTCGCGTTATATCGGGGTAGAGGTGTATCTCTATTTTATAGATGGGAAAAATGAGGAACAGAAAAGTTAAGTGACCAAGGTCATGCAGCAAGTCAAGTGCAGAACTCTGTTCTCCTGACTCTTAGTCCCTGTTAGAACCACTAAACAACACAGAGAAGTCAGAGCTGCCCTCATGAGAAAACAAAAGCAAAGCATCCCCATTTCAAGATGAAATTTCAAGGTGAGGAGTTGGACTCTGAGTAAAAATCCCCCCACCACCCTGGTAGTTTTTCTTGGGCACTGGTGCCGTGAAATCTTCACCCATGTGGCGATGCCTGACAGTCCTGCTTCCATGAAATATCCATGATGAAACTGGGAAATTTCAGGCAGTGGGGGCCAGGGGGCTATTTCTGTACAAAGTGACTGCGAGTGGGGGGGGGGTGTGGTTTGGAATGGCTTTGTGACACTGCACCCCACCTCCAGACACTGACAAAGTGGCATTTTTTTTTCACCTCTAAAAGAGGGATGGGGGAAAATCCCACTAGTGAAAAACACATTCCTCGCTGGTTTCACAAAAGTGGATGCCAAAGACCCAAGAATAGCAGCCACATTTGTAAAAAATCAAACAACAGAGCAAACTACAGAGCAAATCTAACAGTGGAGAAAATGCTCTGTCCCAGCTTGGCAATCACTCCCATGACCTTATTCCTCCCAAGCGTGAAGAGCAGGAGCCTGGCCTACATGCTGCTGGCGTAACTTGACAGCACTAAGGGACAGGATACTGGGTCTTGTAAGTCTGGGGGATACTGGAACACGTTTAAGCACACAGATGGTGTATAATTATTATTTGTTTTATGGTGGCGTGTACGGGCCCCCGCTGAGAGTCCATTGTGTTAGACACTCTACAAACACATAGGGAGAGACAGGCCCTATCTCCAAGAGCAAAACAGACAGGAGAGGCATAGGGCAGGAGAGAAACAGCCACAGATCAGGAAAGAGACTTGCCCAAGCTCCCACTGTAGGTCCCTGGCAGAGCTGGGAAGAAAGCTGGTGCTCTCCCCACTAGGCCAGGCTGCCTTTCTGTTCTATCGCATTGTCCTGGAATACTGGAGGGGAGTAGGAGACAGCGCAATATTCTACGCCGAGCGAGCAGGGCGAGTTCACAGATACCTACAGCTAATGTACATTAGCCATGAATTCTCATGTGGAGCCCTCTAGGGCAGTCCAGTCACCAAACCACACTAGCATGGAGAGCGCAGTGTAAGCCAACCCAAAGGTCACCAGCGGTAAAGAACCTACATTCCAAGAAAGGATTAAGGGATCTGGGCTTCGTTCTCATAGGAGAGGAGTGAGCTTCCAGGTGCCGAGGTAGAGGTTTCCAAAATTACAAAGGCAGAGCCAGGGTGGCTGGGGATAAACTCCCCGCAAAGCTGAGGGGTGTTTCGAAAGCAAAGGGCCAGAACGGCAGGTTCAGTGCTAGCCTCGGATTTTGCAGTCATGGTTTTCCACCCGCGAATAGCGCCTGCACTCAGAGTTTCATGCCTGTGATGGGTTATACCCACAAATCCGGAGCTGGGAGTTCAGCATCCGAATGCTACCTCATGTGCCTCTGACGATGCAAACTCGGTGAGCAAATTAAGGCGTAGCTGAAAACCAGACCCACCATCCAAACTGTATGTGGGAGTATAAGGAAATCAGGCAGCACGTAGCCTGCAATAAGCTACCAGAGAAGGGACCGAGTTTGAAAGACACCTGACTTAGCTGCTGGAGGAGAGGCTGGAAGGACATGATTCTGAAGCATGAAGGTCGAGTGAACAGCAGTTCAGACAGGGCTGGCTCGTTAAACCCCGTGGCCTCTGCATGCTCCTAAAACGGCTTCTGTTCTTATCATCCACCACTACGGCAGATATTGCAGAGACGCAGTGTGCATTTGAGTAGAGTGCAGCATGCCCCAGTATGCTCGGGTAGCTATGGAAGATAGTGCACCCATTGCATAATCTAAAGATTGTTTAAAACGAAGAGGAAGCTCTTACATCCCCAATGCTAGTATTCTGGAGGGTCATATTTGGTAGGGAGGAAGGACCCTAAAACCGGAGGTCAGAGAGCTTTGTGACCTTGTTATGGAGAAGAGATGGTAAACAACCAAATCTTAGTGCCCACATAACAAAGGGTTCTACTAACTGAGGTCTTGTCCTGCATTCAGTGCACTAGTCTCTCTCCGGGGTCATGCGAAGCTAGGGGTACGTGCCGTATATAAAAACAAAATAATTTAGAAGATATTTTGGGAGAAGTGTTGGAAGAAGAGGAAAGACTCAAAAAAAGTCAGGAAATGCAGGAAATAGGGAGAGAGCCCGCGACAAGGAAAATTTCAGCTGCAAGAGAGAGACATTTTTCACTGGGGAGCGATTCCCAGAGTCTAAGGCCAGAAGAAACAATTATGATCATGCCAGCTGAGCTCCTGCTTCACACAGGGCAGAGAACCTGAACCAGCAAACTCCTGGAGTAGAGGGAATTATTTTTGCAGGGTCCTCCTTCAAATCTCATATGTATGGAGACGGAGTAACATTACTCACAGTTGCCCTGTTTGCTTCCAGAGCTTGGGGTCCCCACTTCTGAAAGCCTGGCCCACCATTTTGATGTTTGACATTGACCAGAAGACATAAAAAGGGAGAGAATTCTCGCGTGTGTCTGGCTCGTTTCTCGGTTTAGTAAGTGCTAACAATGCAGGAAGTGGGGGAAGGGAGGGTGTAGTGGGGTGGCTGCCCTACTCCCTGAATTTGGACTGCAGCAGGCCAATGGGCCTGCGCAGACAGGGAGCCAATCAGGGAAGGCCTTATAGGGAGCCAATCAGGGCCCAGATTAGAGGGAGCCAATCAGGGCCAGGCTCAGCCCTATAAGAAGGCTGCTCAGGAAAGGAGCAGTCAGTCTGTCCCAGGCCTTTGACAGGGGAAGGTCTGTCTCCAGTGCTGGGCAGGCCCGGGGGAGCAGAGGGTAACTCCAGCCCCGGAATCTGTCAGGCTGCAGGCCCTGAAGGGAAGGGCCTGGCCGGTGCTAGGGGCCGAAGGGGAAGCGGCCCAGGGACGTGGACAGACGGACGGAGGGAGAGAAGGAGGGCAGGACGGCTGCCACTAGAGGGTCCCAGAGTAGTGGGCAGGCCTGGGTCCCCCCCTTTCCCCCTTGCCTTACACCCGGCCGACGGCGCGGCCATCTAGAGCTGCACCAACCCCCTGCCAAGAGGGGAGTGACTTTGAGGGTGCAGTTGGCCACATCGGCCAGGATGCAGAGAGGCAGCTGATTGACCCCCCCCCCCCCGGAAGGGGGCGAGGATGGACTAAGGGGCACTGCCGATGGTCAGTGGCTCGAAGAGGACGCCATGAGCGTGGGAGCAACACGGGTCCAGACACGCCAACCGAGGGCGAGACGACGGACGGGACACCACCAGGAGGGGGCGCTCCACTGGACAGAGCTAATTCCCAAGGCGCCAGGTGGTGAGTCCCAACCCCGTCACAGAGGGTTCCGATGTCTTGGGCCGAGATGTCTGATGTTAGAAGGATGCTGCTCTTAGCTGCAGAGAGAAACTTTCAGCTCTGCTGGAAGGAGGCTTTCTAAAAAATTTATTAGAAAGCACACAGCATGCTGGTTCAGTCCTTGCTGGCGAGGAGAGAGGCTGGAAATCACAGCCAGCGTGCAGGCATCACTGCAGAGTAGCATTTTATCATAATGCCCCATATGTGACAGGCAGCGCAGGAGATTAACAAGCCATATTAGGGAGGGGGAAGGTCATGCCAGTGCCTCTGGTTATTTCCAACTGTCTTGCTGCAACGGTAGAAGTGCTGCTGCTGTCCTCATTTCTGCCAGCCGCCAGGCCGCGGGCTCCACCATTGCCCCAGATGCTTGGCTCCTGACGTGCAGAGAGAGAGAGAAGTTTCTCACGAGGAGATGGGGCTAAGGAAGCAGACTTCTTATGGTCAGAAATTAAGGCCTGGTCCTAATGCATCCTTCCCTCAAGTGTTGGGAAATCCTCCAAACCAGCCACCAGACGTCTGATCCACCCTTGCCGGCTATTTCTCTCTGACACCCTGAGCAGACATGGACAGGGCGCTCCGGGGGAGATTTCTCACACTGCCTTTTTCTCACTGTCACTCCCCTGGAGGGCTCCATATGTAGAAATCGGAGTCTCTCTCCGTTTTTCTCACCCCTCCTTGATGCACACGCTGAGTAATACGACCCAAGCTATGAAACGAGCCGTCTCTGGGTGCCCCTCGGAACACTGGAGCACTTCCTCCTCGGCTTGCCCATCCCTAACGAGTAGCACCATCCCGAAATGCACCCTGTGAATAAGGCACCTTCTAGTCCCTCTGGAGTCTTGGGGCCCCAGAGGAGTTGGAAGCCCAGAATGTGTCCAGTTGGGGGCGTTGCTTGCTAGGGGCCAAAGGCCGAAGGAGAATGGTGGAAGCCTCCACTCAGAAGTAACCCTCACTGACAGGTGGGAGGCACTTCAAGGAGGAAAGGACGCTAATGCACTGGTGAAAAGATCCTGGTAGGCGTGAAGAGGCAGGCCAGAAGGAAGCCAGGCAGCACTTATGTGGGGTGAGGCATCCTCCCAGTAATAACTATTGGGAACGGAGCTGCTACCAACAGCAGCGGCATTCCGGGGCTGCAGGGAACCCCGGCTCCCAACACAAGCGTGTCAGCTCTGCTCCCATTCTCCAGATCACTCATTCCAAACTGCAGGCCTTATCCTGCCAGGTACTGAGCTCCCAGGGAAGTCTGTGGAAGGCAGGGGTGCTGGCGAACCTCCCAGGAGGCATTCAGCACCTTGCAAGATTGTGCCCTGTGAAATATCACACCGCTGTCCTGAATCCAGCCCAACCCTCTGGTGAGTTCCGTGCAAGAGCTTGTCACAGCGGCAGGCATGTCCCTGGTGACGTGGCTCACACTGAACGGCACAAGCATTCCGAATTCCCAGTGCCTGTTCTCACGAGCAGGTTCTCAGGAGCAGGCGCTCGCCTGCCCCAACCTGAAACGCAGCTTGTGCAGAGCAATAAGGAGAGAGTTCCCTCCTCAGCCTGGGAGTGCCAGGGTTTGTAGCACATGCATCATGTACCTTTCCAGTTCAGCGAGCACTGTGCATCGGGCCGGCGCAGAGAAATCCAGGCATGTTCCAACAAGGAATACAGTATCGATCTGATTAAAGAAACAGCTACCCTCCTTTGCCTCTCGTTCCCAGCACATACTGTGTGGGGTTTACCTTGCACCTAGTCGTGGTCACTGCATGGCCCAGCCACGCGGCAGCCTGAACTAACAGCTTCTAATCAGTCGATGTGCATCCAGATTTTGTGGCGGAGACATGACAGGGGGTTGCACCATTAAGACAAGTCATATAGCTGCATGGAAGCTGTGGTCCCCGGGCATACTGGCCAACACAGAGGGACTGTAATAAGAGTGGGACAGTACTGGGACTGAAGAGGTTAAACCATGGGAGCTTTGTTGTATTTAAGAGGCAATTTCAAGAGAGGGCAACTAAGTACAGGAGGAAGGATCCCTGGGATGGGGTGTATTGGGACAAGTTGGCTGAGATGTGAACCAATGAGTCTTTTATTGTCTGTTTGTACAGCACCCACTGGAGCCTCTGGGTGCTAGAGAAAGGCAAAGAATTACTGTTATTCATAAGAAATAATCACAAGAACAATAAGAACAATTAGAGCTGGTCAAAATGTTTCCAAATTTCAGAATTAAAAACAAAAAAGGAACAATTTTCTTGACATTTCCACAGTTTTCTTCCAGTTTTTTCTCCAAATTATAGGGCTGGTGGAAATTTTTACAATTTGAAAATATTGACACAAATGTTTGTGGGGGTTTTCCTGACTGGCTCCAATACTAATAAATAATGCTCAGAGCCATTAATGGACTTCTGCACGTTCAGCATAGGCTTCCAGGGGACTTCTCTGCAGCAGGGGCAGCTGCAAAACCCTCAAGACACCAAATGTGCATTTCTCTTGTACTCAGATCCTTGTCTGTGGTAGCTTTGCACTGCTCACACACCCGCTGGTGAATAACTACCTTCAGATCTAGCTTCTGCAGGGGAGACCACGTTTAGCAAAATGAAAGTGCATGGAGGCTTTTTTGATTTTTAAAGTTGTATGAAACCTAAAAAGAGTTTTTTTCCCCCCAATGGATCACCTATCCATCCGCTTTTGGATTTTAATTAAACGCTGCAGCAATGAGCAGTCAACTGCTGTATTTACAGAAGATCAGCAGCTATCTTCACACATCAGCCTTTTATGGATGATGGGCCAAGGAGATGTAGCTCCCCTGCGATTGATACACATGCTGATACACCAGGGTGAATATGGCCCGATGCATCTCTGACAGGGATGCCCAGCTATGATCCTTCGTTAAGTTTCAAAAACAGAGAAATAATCAGCAGGAAATAAATGCCAATTATTCAGTAAAGTCCTAGAGAAATCCCTCCCTCCCCAGAGCCCATGCAGAAGCCAGAGCAGATATAACAGGAGTGGCGTTTGTGTCAGGGCAGGGACAACACCCCCCCATGCCAAAGGGATTTTAAAGTGACCATCGTACCATCATGACCCCGTCGAGCAGGCCCGACTCCGCCCTGGGCGCAGCCTGCAGCCGCTCCATGGACCATTTCTCAGTGATGGCCGACACGTGAGGGTTCTCCACGTTGAGGATCCGGAAGCCAGTCAGGTTCACTCCAGAGTAGCGGTATGGCTCTAGGTCTAGTGCATAAAGATCCTTAAAAGAGAGAAATCGGTTTTAACATTTTGTGACTTTCTTTTCTTTGTCTCATTTCCGCTGTTTAATGTGTTGTCTTTGTACTAAGCTGGAGAGTTCAGGGTTCACAGAAAGTGGGATACAGGATGCTGCCGTACTGAATGCAGGGTGTAGAGCTCCGTCCATATCATATTATGATAGTACCCAATGGAATCAGGGCCCCATGGTGCTACATACATCTAGGAAAAGCCAATCTCCTTTCTAAAGACGTCACAATCTAAACACACAAGACAAACAACGAAAAACAACAACAAAATGTTTTGTTCAACCCAAAATGAAATGTCTAATTTTCAAGTTTTTTTTAACTCAAAAGACAAAATCATTTTGAATTGAAAAATCTTTTTTTTTTTTTTTTTTTTTAAAATATTTAAATGAGACATTTCCATTTTGTTCTGATTTTTGTTATTTGGCAAATTCAATAAGAATTTGCAAAATGTTTTGGTTGACCCAAATATGAATTTTTCAGTGAAAAACATTGACTGAAAAATTTCATCCAACCCTCGCCCTGAGACTGGTGTCTGGCCACTACACCCTGCAGAATGAGGTCTTAAAAGGCATTGTTTCTGCATTTGAGTTTAATCCTATAAAAGTTCCCTACGGTTTTTCCTGGAGAATTTGCTTTGAGTGCTGAGTCCTGGACGGTACCTTGGATGACAGAATAACTCCAAATTTGGAATGTCAATTTGCAGATCACTATAGAAGAGGAGCTAAGATGAATTTCTTGACATTAGGACCAGTCTACACAGTCTGCAAATGAATGAGTGTGCCCTTTATACAATAAAAAAAGAGAGAGGCAGAGAAGCCAGGCAGCCTTTAGCTCCACTGGCAACCCGCCCAAAGCTGTCACTTGGCAGGCAGGGAGAGAGGGGGTATTTGCAGTCCTTCGTTAGCGCACTTCCTTAATGCATCTCTTGGCTCTGCCACATCTGAATATTAACTTCAGTACAGGGAGGTCTGTAGCTCAAACCTCAGAAACAAATCGGAATGGGTTTTGGATCCGAGACACGCCAGGCACACACCACAGCTGTTCAGCTCGGCAAAAAACAAGAACAGCTCACCCAAGGGAACTGGAAGCTGCCTGGATGATGAAGCTGAACAAGGTTTCCTGGGAGTTCACAAATGAGGGAACCATGAATGAGCGCGGCAGAGAATGGCAATCAGGAGGGGGCTTCGGTCCTGGAATAATCTGCTTAATGAGTCGCTTTAACCATATTTTATTTTGAACCGTTTCTGCAACTGTTATTGATTTTGTAATCCCAGATCATCCCATTCCTACCATCTCTCTGCTGATTCATTCTCTAAAACAGATGAGAGGCAATAAAAAAAGTAGTTTGCATGCAACACATTCTCCTGGGCCAAATTCTAGGAAGTGCTGAGTTTCTGTTTTGACTTTTTGTTTCAAAATGACATTGTTTAGAAATTAAACTAGATTAACTAAAAACCCCACAAAACGTGATGAAAAACACCCCAAAATGAAACAAAATGGTTTATTTTGTCCCAGTCATGAATTGTACACTCTTTGGGGTTGGGACTTGTCTCTTTGTTCTGTGTTTGTACAGCGCCTTGCACAACAGGGTCCTGGGACAGGGCTCGGGCTCCTAGGTGCTACTGCAATACAAATCCATTGGCTTCCCTGCCGGATTCGATTTTACCCTGATACCATCTCATCAAAGTCAGTGTTTAACTACCACAGTGATGTGCCACACCGCTCGACCTGTCAGGGACCAGACCTGGGGTGAAATGTGAGCCGTGAAAAGGGTCCCTGCTGGGAAGTTAAAATGCTGCGGGGTTCCTTCCTTTATGGAAAAATGACACTTTCTGGAACCTCAGCGCCATGATTCTTTATTACTGACTGCACCAGGGCAGCTCGTCCCTGAGGGCTGCAGGGCTGAGGCCAGCCAACCCTGCCTACTGACGAGGCACGGCTGGGTGGGGCCCGGGGCCTCCTGGTAGAGAGCAGTAGGGTGAAGCAGCGCACTGGGACAGAGGAAGAGCTCGGTGTGCGGCCAACTAAACCAGGCTGGGTATGAACTTTTGTGTTATGGGTACGGGGTTCCCTCTGGGGTCTCTCGGGGGATTGTTTGAACCATTTTGGTTATTAAGAACCCTCCGGCTTGTTTGAATCATTTCTGTTATTAAACCATCCCTGGGTGGGGGTGCTGTTAGCCACAAGACTGACTGCACTGGAGTTCTCAAAGGGCCTGCAAGAGAAGGCTAACGGGGGCAGGCTGCATGCAAAATGACCCCTGGCCTTGAGAGGGGTCAGCTACACTGATGTAAATATAGGGTGACCAGATGTTCTGATTTTATAGGGACAGTCCTGATATTCGGGGCTTTGTCTTATATAGGCACCTATTACCCCCCAAGCCTGCCCCGATTTTTCACACTTGCTGTCTGGTCACCCTATGTAAACAGTCTTTAACAATACAAGTGAGGGGACCCCCAAGTTGTGTGGAAGGCAGGGAACTTTGCAATGACATGAGGTGAAGTCCCTAGATCTACGGGACATGTGCAAGGTGTGTTGATTTAGGGATTTACAAAACCCTACAAGATTGGATGAACAGCCTGGCTGACCCCCAAAGCTAACCCAACAGGTGTCTGGTTCTTCGTTCAGTGTCAAGAACCCAAAGTGCAAATTGGGGATGAGTTTGACACTAGGCTGTAATTTGGGAAGTATGTTCATCTCCATCACATTCAGTCATTCTCTGCCGCGTTATTCACACCGTATTCACATGCAAAGCCCACTGCAGTATTTTGGGAAGATGGCAATTTTCAAATGCCTGCTCGACGTAAACTCCACGCACCTTTATCCCACCTAGCATACTGTACCCCCTTCTGTGCCCAGATCGAATGGAGGAGTTTGTCAAAGGAAGTAGCCAAATCACAGATTAAATCTTGCTCTGTGTCCCCGCAGAGCAGCGCCCGCTGCTTCCCACAAGCATGTGGTCCGACCTGCTCCAGGGCCAGCTGCTACTGCAGCAGGGGGTTCACATAAGCCGCTTAGAGAGCTCCCTGCTGAGTCCATAGTACAGTTGAGGGTGTGTCGCCTGACCTACAAAGGCCTCCATGGGAAGCGCTCTAGCTGCCTGTGGTTGCCTCTCCTTCCATGACAGCTACAATCCCGCACAACGGTGCAGCTCTACACCAATGGGGGAGACCCATGGGTGCAGGGGACCAGATGTTCCCAGGCTATGGAGCTCACCGCCCTGAGAAAGAACCTGGGATCCAGCCACTCTCAGGCCTAGAGACAAGACTCAGTTCTTCAACTTCAACAGTTTCTGCACGTACACTGTCCCCTGCACACGTACACAACTCGCACATGCAAACACAGGGAGCCCTAGGAACTCAGCAAGCCATTTCTCTTTCCAGCTGGGAAGGGAGAAAGGGAGAGACTGTTGTTGTCATTTCTCCTCGTAAACCCTCTCTTATCGCTGTGGTGACAGGGGCTGTCTAAGGAGAGAGCATTTCTGGAATGTGGAGTGAATGGCTGTTCATGGGGGAATTTCCACCCTATTAATCCCAGCCTCAGTGTCCACCCACACGGGCCAGTGCCTTGTTTTCTGGCAAAGCTTTGTTACTGTGGGTAGTAATGAGGTCTCCCTGCTATGGCTCACGGGGGCTGAAGCGATAAGGATGGGTATACGTTTATTGTTCTCAGAAGGGATTTTGAAAAGTTGGGTTATATTTTAACCGTTAATCGATCCCCTGCTGGTGAAGTCTCGTTTTTCTGTCTGATAGTCTCTGGCAGTCCCTGTGTGAGTCATCTGGCCCAGATTGCTTGTGCAATGAGGCAGGGATCACTGGGTGCACGTCTCAATACAGGAGAGAGATGGTCCATGCAATATACCACTTCAGCCACACAATTCCATTCTGCCCAAGGGTGAGTTAAAGAACAGACCCTCGTGTTTCCTGCATTGGCCAGTGTGCCGGTATAGGCAGCAAACCGCAAACACACAGACGCAGTTTGGGAGATTACTGGGCAATGTTAATAGCACGCGTAGCAATTTGCTGGATTTTGTTAGCTGTTCAAGAGCAGCACTGGGAAGAGTTAGCGAGGCCAGAGCGCTGCCTGGTAAGGAAGCTTTGCCCAAGCATGTATCGAGTTTAGGAATAGGCTTGGCAACTCCTTAAGGGGATTCATCCAGGAGACGACAGGGAATCTCTCAATGAGGAAGCAAGGACTGGAGATATTTATGCCTTTGTGCATCTTAGCGGCGGGACACTGATCTCTCCTGACACCCAACAGGAACCAGCTTAGCCATGCAAATGTGGTTTTTGGTGAAGTCACAGGCAGGAGCAGCACAAGGGTTTTTGCCGCCCTAGGCGGGGGGTCCTTCCGCGCTCCCGGTCTTCGGCGGGGGGTCCTTCCGCGCTCCTGGTCTTCGGCGGCAATTCTGCAGCGGGGGGTCCTTCCGCGCTCCCGGTCTTCGGGGCACTTCGGCGGCGGGTCCTGGAGCGAGTGAAGGACCCGCCGCAGAATTGCCGCCGAAGACCCGGAGCGCGGAAGGACCCCCCGCCGCAGAATTGCCACCCCCCAAATCCTGATGCCCGAGGCGACTGCCTAGGTCGCCTAAATGGAAGCGCCGGCCCTGGTCACAGGCTGACCCTGTGTAATGACTCTGATGGCGCACTCTCCCGCTTGCAGAATTTGTAATTTATGGAACAGTTGACAGAGCATTGGCCCCAAATGCAGAACCATAATCAGTGTGTGATAAAACCAGAGCATTCCAGACCTCTATGACTGCACGCTCAGTAGAAGAACTGGGAATCGTTGCAGCTATTGGGCCTTAATAAGCCTTTAGGGCCTGATTTTATTTTTAAATGCTGGCCTCCTATTTTGCACCCTCAAAGTACACAGCTGATGCCATGTAGATGTTTGCAGGTCCAGTCACCAATCACACCCACAAAGAATTGCATTGTCCATTTTTCACCTGCAACATTTTAGGTAGAAAACCAGAGATCCAGTTAAAGAGCAGGCTGAAAATCAGACTTGAGTGTCCTCTCGTAAATGATGCCAGGTGACTGAACTCAGAGTGTGGATGTTTAATCGCAGCAGGGTTTGGATGGTTACGATCATCTTTATCTCAGACTATGGGTTTATTAGTCTATTGCTCGACCCCAGGGGAACACTTTTCGTATTCCTCATTCTTCCAGCAATCAGAATTTTTAGACATAGAGTATCTGTTAGTGCTTCGGGAAAAGGTGGTGAATTCATTTCTGAGGCAGCAGATTCACTTCCACAGCTTTAATTGTACATGACAAAGTCCATCCAGCTAGCTCCAACTGACCTCTAGGACTTCCTCTCTCTCTATTCCCCTCTCTGCCATGCCTCCAGCACTGGACTCCTTTCTCACCGTGCCCATACTCTGGGTGTGACTATCTCCTGTTCTGCATCTCTTGTAGCCCTTCACTTCCCCAAGGACCTGATTTCGCTCCTATGGAAGCTAACTTGACTCTTTCCACTCTCCTCCAGCCCACTTGAAATCTCAGCTGAAATCTGACTCTTCAGCTTCTAGAGATAAGAGGACAATTAAGAATTCAAACTGAGTTGCAAAAATTGCAAGGAAAAAAAATCACTGTATTAGTTCCTCCCGGACCTTCTGCTCCTGCCTCTCCTATATCTGCAACTTGGAGCATCTGTTTCCATTTTCCAGTTCATCTACCTTTTCCTTCCGTAACAGACTCTGGTGCTTCAGATTCGTCCCCGCCCCCCTTCTCTGGAACATTGCTTTTCAGAGTTACTGAGCTGCTTTTACACCCCTGACATTTCCCAGCTAAAAGTTCCTAGCGGAAGCTCCACCTTCCATGACAGACATTGCTTCTTGAGAGTCTACACCAGCAGAGATCAGGGATCTATTGTGTTAGCTGCTCTGCAGATACACAGAAAGGGGCGGGGACTTGCTATGGTCCAAATCCGGCAACAACTGCACTGACAACCCCCATTTGACTTCAGCAGAGCTCTTTGTGTTTGGATGTCACCTAGCACCATGGGGCCCTGATCTTGGCTTAGGCCTCCAGATGCTACTGTAATAATAAGAAAGTCAGGCACCTGATTCCCTGTTTCAACACAACCAACTGATTTACATCAGAGTGACCTGTTTCAGAGTAGCAGCCGTGTTAGTCTGTATCCGCAAAAAGAACAGGAGTCCTTGTGGCACCTTAGAGACTAACACATTTATTTGAGCATTAGCCCATGAAAGCTTCATGCCCAAATAAATGTGTTAGTCTCTAAGGTGCCACAAGGACTCCTGTTCTTTTTATCAAAGTGACCTGCCTCCCTGCTGTGCTGAGTTTCACAGGAGTAGGGTGTGCTCAGCACCAGCTGAAAGCCAGTCCAGTTTAATTTAAATGCCTAATAATCAGGTCTGCCCCAAGTCTTTCGCTGTGCAATTTCCCACTCAGGCTCAGAGTAAGAGTCCTCCAGGTACTGAACTCACCCTTCGCAGTACACACGGCTACAGATTGCATCAGCGTTAAGCCTTAGCCCTCTTCAGAGCAGCCCAATGTGCAGCGGAGATCTTGAGCTCAGCTGGATGAGTGGAGTAAGCAGCAGAACATCAGCCCTCTTCCCCCTTTATTCTAGCTCCTCTCCTTGTGTATGCGCCTACCTGAGATGCTGCCCTGCGCACGTTCTTTCACTCTGAGCTTGGTGCACGGATTCTAAGGACACTCCGTAGCTTGAGTCCCCAGCTTTCCTGAACTACCCTCAAACAGCTGCGTTAGGGAGACGTCTCTTTGTACGGGCGCCGCACAATCCTACAAGCTGCGGAGCCACTTCTAGAGGTGCCAAGTCCCGCTGACCCCAACGGGAGCTGAGGGTGCTGAGCCCCGTGCAGGATCAAACCCTAACTCATATGGAAGCAGGGGCTATGCTTGACACCAGACAACGGCCTCGCGGGGCATCTTGCCGGCTCCCGGCTCCCATCTCTGTTAGACGGAAGATCAAGAGGGGGCCCGACATGTTGAACTCAGGTTTGCTGTTCGGCACAATGGTGAAGCTTTCCATGCTAAATGGTGATCCAGTGTATTCAGCACTGACTAGGGACCTTTCAGAAACATTCCCTGTAACATAATAGACTAATTCATTAGCGCCCCATGGGTCTAGTACGGTCGAAGCTGGAGAATGTGCATTGTAAGCTAGGAAAACATTGCCTTCAGGAATAATAGATTAGAACGTCTCTCCCATGGTAAAACTGTTATTTCAGGAAAGTGGCATTAATTGTGATTGCTTATCTATTAATTTATTATCATTTCCCCCCACCTCCAGGCTTTACCTACACATGAGATGTACTATAAGCTCAGCTGGGACTGATTAATAGGAGGTTATCTGGGAACTGCTTAAAGCTGCCTGGAATAGATAATGGCAGTAGGAGTAATTAAAATATCTTTTGTATTTGAAAAATAAGTTTTGCAAATTTTAAGGGTTAGTTTATTATGTTTCTTTCCTAAAGGGGAAAGATACATGAGTTTTTTTAGCATCATGCCAAATTCAGGAGAGTCCCAGACAATAACACCCTAAATTAAAACAAAACAAAAAAAAACACATGCCAAGAAAAATGCCTCCTGGAGTCAGAGGGGAACTAGCCCATGTTTAACGAGACTGAAGATAATTTCAAGCTGAATTCTTCTCATGCAAAATAAACCTGCCGTGTCGAAATATCTACCAGAGCAAGGAGGGTTAGGATGCGGTTCTCAAAAGAGCTTCAGCAGAGAGGTTCCCAACATCTGTTGAATTTCAGCACCCACAAATCCCATCCACAATGGCTAAGGCCCTTGTCCACATGCTCAGCTTTCAGCGTGTGAGCAGTCGCACCGAGACCAAAATGACGGGAGGAAAAGAAGTGGAATAAATAGTGCGGGACTGATTCTCTTCTTGCCGCCACTCGTGTATATGTGGAGTAACTCCGGACAAGTAAACGCAGTTACACTGATGAAAAGCAGCGTGCGCGAGAGGAGAACCAGCGTGTCTGTTAACATGAACGGTTACGTGATGCTTCAATGAGAAGGCCGGTTTAAATGAAAAAATAAATGATTTTAGACCAAAGCTAAGTAAAACCTCCTAGTCACTGTTCTGTTAATACAGGTCCACCCTGCCCCTCCAGGGTCCTGGAGCTGTCTGACACACCCAGAAAAAAGCATTCCGTACGGCTCGCCGACTACAGGCAGCACCTGCTCACATTTCATTCCCGGTGCGTGGGGACAGGAAAAGGAGTTGCATTGATTTGATACTTTACCAGAGTAGTGAAGATGAAGTGGTAGTATTCCGTCATCATTCCCATTGCCATTGCCTTGAGAAGAGTGGGGGGAAAAGAGGGTTAGCCAGATGTCTGGTAAAACTGTCTAGAAGAAACAGTGAAAGAAAAACACCTGAAGGGCTGATACATGCAGAGAGATGAAACAGGAAACACATTTGGATTCTGGACTGATTCAGCAAAGTGCTTAAGCATGTGCTTAACTTTAAGTTCCTGGGACATAAGCATATGCTTACATGCTTTGCTGAATCAAGGCCTACAGCCCCTGTGGCCTGTTTTAAACAGGTCCTGAGCACATTCAGATCCCATTGACTTCAGTGGGGCGTGGCGCTCCAGCAGTGAGAAAAATCCAGAGATTTTACTACAACACCTGGGCATCCCCACATGTCCTATACCAGTGAAATCCCAACACTGACAATCTGCTGGCTTGGCTGGGACAGAGGGAGAAAGATATGGCCGTGTTTACTTCTTGAGGAAGGTCGTCCGGATACCATGGTGATGGGCAACATTATAGAAACCTAGGCAGACAAACAGCCCACCACCAGAGTAATGCTGCCTTGTGTTGATCTTAAAAGGTGAAGTGTAAAGCTTTTTATCCCTTAAATTTGTATTGGCATTGCTGTGTATTTCCATCTGTCGCGGCTAGTGTGGGTCTTTGGTGCCTACCACATTCATACAACTCATTTTTAAAAAACGGCTGTTCCCCTTTTTTCTGAACATAATCAACGGAGGATTATAATTAGCATTTGGGACTCTAATTAGAAATATTTTGGGGGTCAGAAAAAGTCCAGGGGGGGAGGAGAATGGAGGGAAACCACTCAGCCGTTCAGTATTATTCTATCAATGAAGTCAAATCAATTAGTATACATTTAAAACTGCTGGATGGGCTGAAAGGACTGCTCCAGAAATAGTCAGAGCAAAATCTGGCACCCAGGGCAATGTTTACTATTTCCAAGAAGCATTGCAGTAGATCTTAATAGTTGGCTGGAATGAAGGGCGAGACAGTTTCTGGCAGGAAGCAGGAGCTGCAGATGTCCAGAGAAACAAATAGCTATTTTTTTTCATAGCTGCCTTAGCTCCTTTAGTCTGGAGGAAATAGCATGTCAGCATCTGTGAAGCACAGGGTGCAAAGCAGTGTCCAGGTAATGGATGCAATATTTTAGTGTTTCCTTCTACAGCTAATCTTTGAGATGCAAAAGGGATCAGGGTAGACCAAGAAGCAAGTGTCCATATAAACGATGACTCCCACACATCATTGCTGTGATGGATATTAATAAAACTAGACTGAATGAATAATTCTACGATACATATCACTGAATCTTTTGGACCAGAAAGAGCCTGGAGTAAATCACCAAATCCAGTCCCCTTGCAACAGGGCACAGCCCTAGTGTATCTAGGAAAGGAATCCTCCTGGAAATGTTTTCAAACAGAAGGGAGGTTTGGTTTTTTGACCTCGGGAGATGTTTGCTTCTCTCTGCTTTCTGTTTGGTTCTGCTACAATTACTAGGGCAGAGTTTAGCTCAGAGGAAGAGAAGGACAGTTTGAAAAGAAGCAGGGGGTTAGGAAACATGGAGAGGACGGGCCAATCCAGATTTCAGGGCCTAGAAACCCAGAATCCAAAGTTTTCCCTTAATTCCTTTCCTTGACCTGGATGTCTTTAAAAAACATGATGCTATTAATGCAAAAATAACCAGGTCTCTGGTATCAGCAGAAGATTTCGACCCAGAAGCAATGAGGCTGTAATTCTCTGAGTCATCCATGATGGTAAATGTTAATGTGCTGGGGCCCAATCCTGCCATCAGATGCTGGTGTGATGCATGAGTCTGAAGGCAGAAAATGCCTCTGCTTTTATAAAGAAATAAAGCAAAAAACAACCCGCAGAACGGTGGAGAGGCTATCAACAAACACCAGGAGGAGGAGAGAGTGGGAGCTGTAGTAAAGGTAGAACTGTGCAGAGCAGGCGTTCCGCAATCCTTTCACAGACAGCGGCCAAGGAGGAGGAGAGAGAAAGTTGGGAGTTCAGAGAACAGATGTGATTGTAAACTCGTGACCAGAAAGACTGAGACCAGACATACCTGGCAACAAAGACTTTTCTCAAGTGAAATTATAGTGCAAGAGGATAAAACAGCAAATACTTTAACTCCCTGGTGCTATCCCAAGAAACTCCACACCTGCTTCCTGGGAATGGGATCGTCTCATATGTGCTAGCTGTGTTATTGAAGCTGTTGGGATAGTCCTTCGTGGGTTAGTGGGGTTTAAAAGTATTGCCCAGGGTGACTATGAGTTGCCTTGATGCCATAATCACTGTGGGGACATTGTTAATGACTGTGTTACATAGACTGGGACCCAGATTTTCAAATGTGACTCGTAATCCAGGGTGCCCAACTTGGGCCACCTCCGAGGGGCCTGAGTTGAAGCGAGCAGGTGCTCAGCGCTTTCTGAAAATCAGACAGTGTTAAGGCATCTCACACTGGACACCCAAAAATCAGGAGTCACTTTTGGAAAACGTGTCCTATATCTATGTTATTTAATGGGGCAGCTTGGCAGGATTCCTCTCCTGCTTTGCATGCCAAATGTGTCCAGTGCAATAGGTGAGTTCAGAGCAAAAGCTGTAGGCCAGGCTTGCATGTGGTTTAATTGGCATGTTTGCTAAAGTCTCCCAGAAGGGAATAATACAGAAAAGTTGCTATTGTTTAACAGAAAGTGTCTGGTTCTGAATCATATCCTTTTTGCACAAACGTGTGACGCGTGATGCACTGTTCCTGTATCTTGCACAGTCTTCTTCCCCTCCCGCCCCACTAATTCAAAGTGGGAACAGAACCCTACCATTCTAATCTGGTGGAAATTGACAGTCACTTTGCACTGGTGTAAAGGCCTGCAGAAGTTGCAGGGGATGAGCAGATTGGACTCACGGTCTCCATAACCCTTCCTGCAGAGATCAAGACTCCATTTCACCAGTATCATGCCAGATTCATACTTGCTGCCAATCAGAAAAGATGCAGGAAAAAATTGGAGCTATCACCATTCCTCAATCCACCCCCCCGCCCCCCAGATATGAGCACTGACTGTGGCAGACGCCATGGGGAGAGCTTGGTACAGAGCAGGGGGCTTTGCCAGTATTAAATAAGTGCCTCTGCAAAAACACACAGACACCAATTGAGGTGCGGGTGGAGGGGGGTTGTAACATTCCTCCAGAGCTCTTAAGGTCATTTGGTGCTCGATCCTGGACAACCAGCAATTCTCGTTGGCAGTGTTTCTCAAGGCCAATCAGCGTACAGCTGCAGCCCATGTGACATCCTCAGGGCCACACAGGTAATATATATTATTATGCGGATGCAACCCCCATAACACATAGAGAGCTGCATATGCAGCCCACAATGGTAAATAGGTTGAGAACCACTGGTCTATGGATTATAAGTAGATACCCCTGTTTTTTGTTTCCTAAAAAAATCCACATACAAGAAACCTTTCATGCCCCCCTCCCCCAACCTCCACCCCACCCCACCCACCCGTTATTCTTTACCCACACCGATGAGCAGAGCAGATGGCACAATAAACTATCAAAAACTGCATAATAAGTGAACAGCACCAAATACAGCCAGCCTGTTAAGATAATAGACAGGAGATGAGGATTCCTCTCATTACTTCATTAAATAATCCCTCCCTGGCTTTCTGATCTCTGGACACTTCCCCTCATTTTGCAGTAGCACAGAATTCCCTCTTCGGTGTGCTGGGCTGCTTAGTCCTTCAAGGGCAGAATGTTTATTAAACAATATGTTGGGTCTCCCTGGGCTGGGATAAAACAAATCAGCAAATACAAGTGTGATTTAACTCTCCTAGAGCAGACATTTCTTACCCTAATGGCATGTACCTAAGGGGGAGAGGAAGGGGTGAAATCCAGGCCTGCTGGCATGTAAGAGACACAAATCAAGAAGCAGAAAAAAAGGTGGTCAATGGGAAATCACTGACATCTAGGCTCACACTCGGAGAATTACCCAACATAGCAATAAAAAGACCCAGAAATGTGGCAATCTTGGACTTTCCATTGTGACCAAATTTGTGGCTTCTTGTGTGTGTGTGTGTGTGTGCGTGTGTGTGCGCGCATGCGCACACACGTACATCACAGATCTTATCCAAAATGTAGCTTTCTACAGAATGTTCTTAGCAGTGTGTGTACATGCGTACCTCGCAGCAGTTCTTACCAAAATGTAGCATCTCGTGTAATGTCCCCGTGTGTGCGTGCTCATGGGGCCTGCGGCAGGACAGATGGGAGAGATGACATGAAACCAGGAAGTAATACAACATTCATGCAGGGATGGGGCTAAATGAACAGTGACAGAAGTGGCCAAGAGCAGAATTCAATTTGGTACATTGGCTGACAAAGGGAGAAACAAGTGCTGTACTCACGCACTGAGGGCTGGAGAGCCGCTTGCGTGGCAACAGAGGAAATGATATGTGATCATATAGTTAAAGACTGAAGCCAATTCAGCTGAACTCACTAATACCAGATGAGGATCTGGTCTTATATCCTAACTAGAGCTGGTTGGATTTTTTTCCTCCCTGAAGTGGAAAATTTTGATTTTTTTTCCATGGATAATTTTTACTTTTCATTATTTTGGGTTTTTTTCCCAAAGAAAAGTTGAAATTTCCTGCAGAAATCAGACACTTTCCTGAAAATTTTCATTTAGTCAAAAACCTAATTTTGCAACAAAAAAGTGTTGACAGCAATTGTGTGACCAACCTTAATTTTAATACCGATGCACAAGGGAGCCGAGTTGGGGTTACCAATGCAGCCCTAACTTTGGTGTTCTCTGTGTGCTCTGCACTGCAGCCTGACCCTTGTAGCATAGTTCTTTGTACAAAACCTGTATTTTCAGATGTAAAAACCAAGTGTAGAGGAAGTCGCTTTAACTATAGCCTCAGAACATTGCCCAAAAGAGCCTAAGCAAAGCATTTGCCGCTGCAAAAGTGCCGTATTTATTGTAAAGGACGATACCTGCAGGGGTACACCACAGATGTCTCAGCTGGATTATCATCCTTGCATGAGCATGAATTCCCAGAGGCTTCCCACCTTCCAAAGGACCCCTCCTGCTGCAGCCCCTCCGGAGCTCACCTGTTTGAGGATCTGAGCTGCCATCAAGTGGTTGCAGTCGAAGATGATGCGGAATTCCCGGCCTCTCTTCATCTCCTTCAACAGGGGCCTGGCATCCTCCGTGTCGATGGGCAGCTGGCGGATCTTCAGCCGGATGTTGTACCTTGACGGGGCCATGATAAGCTCCTGCAGCCGTATCAGGCCTTAGAAAGCAGCGTTTCAAAAAGACAAAACCCACAGCATTATCAGGGCGGGCTGCTCTTGCCAGCAGCGGGTCCCTTCCACATCCACTGGGCTCCGGGTTCCTCCACACACTTTTACTGGGCAACTGTTAATTTTCATTCACAATTTGATTTCACAAAATAATTTCCCTTCCCCCCTCTGCCCCCCAATATTTAGCATTTTTTAAATGTCTACCGAAATAAAGGATGCAGCTGGGCCGTGGTTTTAAATTTCAACCACATCTATGGCAATTGTTTTCCAACTTTTACTGTATCAGAAACCCCATTCCTAATAACCCACCTTCCATCTAGCTGAGATCTAACCAGGATGCGCCCTTCCCCCTGCCCCCCACCATTTGGCCATGTGGCATTAGTAGGACAGTCATGACCCCCTACAGCTTTGGGGTCATGCCCCTGCAAATTAAGAGCCCGTGTTCTAGGGAAAAGAGAGAGCAGGACAACCAGCCAGCCAACAACTCCAAAATCTGTTTCATTTACTGTGTATAGATTAAAAAAGAAAAAAAAGTCCAATTCACTGAGACTTGAGTCAAACTGAGTCTTTAGGGGTAATTAATTCCAATCTGAAGAGAAGAATCTCGTCTCTATCATATTATATTACGGCCATAACTGTGGGCAGAAAAAGAAAATAATCGGAGACTTTCTTTCTACCCGTGCACTCATTTCTTTCCTCTGGAGAAAGCACAGTGCCGTGCGGGCCACAGCTGGTTAAAGTTAGTGGGATCTAGCGGTGCAAGAAGAAACCCAATAGAAGGCCGTTGCAAAGGAGGGAGAGACAATGACAAGTGTCCTCGTGCAAAATGGAAGACGTGCATTTGAACATGTCACGGAGGGGAATATACAGGGAGCCACATTAGTCAACAGCAATGTCACACGGCATTCTCCTCAGCACTTCCCCTAAGGAAACTAGCTGGTTTTGTGAAATTGTCTTGAACAAGCGACCCAACATGATTTTATCTTTAGAGCAGGTGCTTTGCTGGGCTTTGTTCCACTATCATCAGCTCCCTCTACCTGCAAATGTCTGTAAGGTGCATTCTATGGTATGAGCCAGACAGCAAAGGCTTTGTAGGCTCAGTTATGCCATTAGCAGGAGCTTTGTGCCCTCAGTGGCAAAACTACCTGCCAAATTCTCTGCTCATGTAAATGGACACTGCGCCGCTGCCTTCAGTGAAGTGGCACCAATTTACACTGCCAGAGAACTTCATCCTTCATCTGGCCCTTGTCAGCAGCCGTGGTGATGAAGGCTAGCCCCATTGACAAGTCGGTAAAAGCTTTAGACATATTCCAAATAACCCTGTGCGCTTCTGCTGTGAGTTAACGAGGAATTCAGATCTGTCCCTGTGGACTCGTCTCACTGCACATAACACGATTTTACTCCACCAGGGCGCATGGGAAAAGTCCCGAAACGGAACCCACAATAGATGAGCTGCTTCGCTCCCCCTTCACCTACCTGTACTGTCATCATAAACAACGGTAGCTGACCTCCATTTCAAATACTGTACAAGGTCCAGAATGGCCTGGCTGAGAGACGCATAGTCGGGGTAAAGGTTGACATAGAAAGTGTCCTTGTTATCCAAAGGGTGATGCTTCCACCGAAGTTGTATATGGGGGACTTCCAGTGCATTGCAAATAGACTGAACAGCATTGGTGCAGGAGCCTTGAGAAGGCCCGAATATTGCTACAACCCCCAGGGCGAGCTGGTCACAGGCTGGAATAGAAAGGGATCGAGGCTGTCAATACACCAGACAATATCCCTCCTGGGGCTGATTAACACTGGGGGAGGCAAGCCCATCCAGAGCGTGTCACTAATTCAGTCCTATCACAAACAGCACAGCTCTGGCGCTTTGTCTTGGCACACGGAGAGAGATAGAGCGGCATGTATGGGGATGGATGGACAGACAGACAGAAGCCTCTGGGTACCAACCAAAATATAAATATTAAAAAAGAAAGGAACGGAGAGGAGAGGCAGAGAGGCAGGTAAGGTTCTATAGACAGACGAGAGATGACAGGTCAGGTTCTAGATCAAGGAATGATTATCCAAGCCCGATACAGCTGAGGGAATGTACAAAGTCTTGAGATTTTCGGGATTTTTTCCTTACGCACAAATCTTTCATTTTTTAATCCCAGCTCTGCATGGTGATAACATTGACTGCTCTTTAGTTAATGGCACTATCCTATCAACAGCGCTGGGTCACAGAGCCCTCTCCTATCTCATAAAGAGTGACCAAAAAGCCAAGCTCCATTGATGAGACATTCTCCGAGGCCTGACTGCCACCTTCACCTACTCCAAGCAGCCCTTAGCAAGTAGTTCCGTTGATCTTTGCAGAATTACTTGCAGGAGTAATTACTACTTAAGGCGACTGAGAACTGAATTAGGCCCTGCAGTGATGGTCACTTGGGCAGCGACTGGTATAAATATAGAGCTGGGCAAAAAATTCCCACTGAATTGTCTTGAAAATGAAAATTGGCTTTTTCACAAAACTGAAATTTTCATTAAAAATGTCAATTTTCTTCTAAATTTTGCATTAAAAAAATTGAAAACCTAAGAGATGGGAGTTTGGGGTTTGGGATTTTTAAAGAAAAACCTGAAAATTTCACAGAAAAAGAAACCACTTATTTCCCAATCAGCTCAATATGAAAAAGGATTGATTCCTATTTGCATGATAAACAATGCCCATTTTTCTGGGCTCCCTACTGGTTTGAATCCCATGCGACTGAAACTTACCATAGCCATTGGCGGTCTGGAAGCATCTCCCCCACACCTCTCTTTCCATACAAAAATGATCTGTGATTTATTCAATATATTTTCAGTGGCCAGAAAACAGGGGTGGATGGCTGGTGCGATTTTTGGATTTTGGTTTGTAGGTTTCATTTAGTTTACTGTGAATGCATGGTTTAAGCTTAAAACCCAGATATTTTGCAGATGCTTAGCATAGACTGGGGCTTTGACTCCATCGTTACATTAAATAACACGCAACTTATTTCATTCTGAAATGCATACAGCAATTACTTTTTAAAAATAAAATATATTTATCTGTGTCAAGCTCAACAATGACCATGGTTTAGACTGAGAGACTTACTAATACTTACAGGATTAACCCTCTAGCCCTTACACACGTGAACAGCCCCTTTCTATTGGGATGCCAGCTGACACAGAGCTCAGCGAGGCCAGTCACTCCGCCGGAATATCAGGCCCTTGCTTGCATGCTTTGCTGCATGGGGACTGGATTGAGGATTGAGCCCCATAGCAGTGTATTGGAGTCCTCCATGCTGCTCTGCTCCGAGAGTTATCAGATATATGGTGACATCCTGACCCCACTGAAGCCAGAAAGTTTTGCCACAATGGGGCCAGAAATTCAATCATATTTGGTATGGAAGTGACACCAGGGGTCACCAGAGGGGACAGAACTCCAGATCTTCAGTACAAAAAGCATAAGGCTCAAAGGACTAGGTTTGCTAGCCGTTGGCAGTACTAGGTTCTTATCCTCTGTGTAGGGAAACCACTAGATAAATTACCAAATGAAATAAGCTGGCCTTTATGGGCCTGGTCCAGTACGAGCAGCTCAGACAAAAGGCTCTCGGAAGTCAGTGGAAGTTCTCTCTGGTGTAATGAGAGCAGGACTGGGGTGCTAATGAACTGAATGTCATCACCTGTTTTATAAACATCGCACCGACACTGTGCAGAAGCTTGCATCTTGTGGCGTACAAGCTACATTCCATTTGGTAAGGCAGAAACCACACCGCTTCCTGCCGGGTAGGGAGTGTGCGCACATACATGGTCACTTGCACACTCACGTATGCACACGCACAAGTGCCCCTCCGTTGGTTCCTGTGTGGTTTAACATCCAGCAAAAAATTAATGCTTCAGTGAAGATAAACATGATACTTACACTTCAGCCTAGCACAGTGCAGGGGTCACAAAACCTAGGGGAACTTCCAAGATAAAACCCCCTGAAAAAAGCAAATATCAGCCTTGATTCCTGGTAGACTCTGTGACAATCAGTTACCAGCTGTCTATTGATGCCGCTCTGGTCTGTGAATTCGGACAGAGTCATACTTTTGCTGAGCAGGTTTCCCCCCCTCCCTCTGCCCCCCCCACCCAGCTGAAGCTAATCCATCACCTTCACAAGCTGACAGGTCAACCACAACCAGAGCACTTGCTGTGCCATTCAGTTTCTCCCTCCCACCCTCCGGACCTCACTCACTAGCAGCTCAAATCAACTGGCATCCAATAACCATAATGACTTGCGGCGGTGGGGCGAAGGGAGGTGCAATCCCGCTGTACTAGAAATAGGTGGTGGGCAGACAAACTCTTCCATGTTTATCCAATTTCTAAGCTTTTAGGGTCCACCATTACTATTCCACACTTCTGTGCTTTTAAAAAGTTCACCAAACCGTCACCGCCAACATTATAGCACATCCACACAAACCACAACAGGCAAGCAGCATTTAATAACGGCACAACCCATCATTTCAATGCTCATGTTTTACCCTTCTATTCGTGTGTGTGTGGGGGGGGGGAGGATACGGGGACTCTGTTTCATTGGATAGAGTTCTCAGTTTTTACCTAACAATGCAAATGCACCAGGAAGTGGCATATTAATTAAACATGAAGGAGAGGCTTAAAAACATAACTTTATTTACTTGTCATAGTCCATTAATATCATGTCTAAGTGGAGCCGCTCAAGAGCCTTGCAAACTTTAGAGTTGGAAGAGAAATAGGTTAGCTGTCTAGGGTTAGCAGGTGGAGGAGTTGTATAGTCTAGTGACCGGCATAGGATAAGGAGCTGGGAGATGCATGGCTGAGCATCTGATTTACAAGGCTTTTGATCTGGAATTCACTTGACGGCTTGGTGCCTCAGTCAACTCAGCTGTAGAAACAGGCAATGGACCTGCACATACTGGGTGCTACAATGGTCCTGAGGATTCTAGGAAAAGATATTCATAAAATCCAGTAAAGTGGTGGCCACTTTCCACCTGAAGTGGGAGAATCCCGACGAGTGAGAGTCAGGATTATTTTAGTTTCTGCCATCAACACCTTTGGTGGCATCTTGGAATTTCCTATTGCATGAAGTTCAAGTACATGGAAACATCTGCATGAAAAATACAGTGGGCTTCACCACCTGTTCCTTTGTGTGTTGGTTTTAATAAAGAAACTATTGCACAGGCTACAGAAGACAAGGAAGCTCGAGTCTGGCTGGCTTGAGGCTCCTGAAGCTGTCCACCTTTTCTCACGGTGGTCAGGTTATTTCAAAAATATGTACCTGTGTGTAAGCCCCAATTCAGAGAAAGCAATGTGAGCAGCTCTGAATGCAGTGGTTACTCAGATTCCTCTGGGAGATGCAGGGCCAAGATTTTATGGGGTCTACCTGTATCAGTGGAGCCCAGAGTTGTTAACCTTTGGCACACTGTTATAGCATTCCAGGTAGGTTCTAATCTCCCTCCCTGCCATGCACACCAGGTCATGTACTTCCAGGAAGGATGCTGCCAAAGGTGTCATCCAAGTGGGTATATGCATGATGTCTCCAGCAGTGCATTGTTACCATCGCAGTACTCGTAAGATATTTATTTTTGCCACATGCATATATCAGTCACTCGTAGGTGATCTGAGCCTTAGCAGCTTCAGCTGACATGGAGTAAAATGAAAATGGGTAGAAGAGATGACATTTTAAAAATAAATAATTAAATAAAGCCATTAAAGTCCTTCAAGCTCCTGGCTACATGTTCAACAGGTGAGCAGAGAGCAGTCTGCCTCTGCTCAAGCCAATCCTTCACCAGATGGAGAAACATGCTATCTACTTACCTTTCTTAGTGGCTTCAAAGCTGTCATGGAAGTGTATCCTCTGAATGTCATAGGTTAATGTTGTGTTAGGCAACAAAGTTCTATTTCTATTGATAATATTGGCAGAAAATCTAAAGGCTTGCTCCTCGGCACTCATAACCTGGGCGTTGGGGCCATCTGCATACTCGAAAATTCCTCCTGCAAGACAGGACCAAAATAGTTACCAACAACATGAAGGTTCAGGAGCACCCTCTCCCACAGCGTGTCCAGAGACAAACTCCTGGGAAAAGCCGACACATTTCAAAGTTACATTAGGGCTACAGCCAGTGGTAAAAAAAGAAATAGGTAAACGAATCTCGCTTTACCCGCATTTCTGCTCAACTACACTACTGGCTACAGCCATGTCTCCCCTGGATTTATCAGCAAGTGGGAACTTCCATATCTTCCAAACTGCATGGGGGGACCGCTCTCAATTTCCCTAGGAAGCTCAGGGGAGTTTGGGAGCCCAGCCGCTCACTGCTGTGTACATGATTGTGCATATTCTGTTTTGACTTGAGCACCCAGCCCAGAGACGGCAGGCAGGGAAGCCAAGTCAGATTATGGCAACACCTAAAAACAAGAAACAGGGCCTCTCTGAGAAGGAGGGTTTCCCTGGTTCCCCTTTTACTGCTGGGGAGATGCTGGTGGCTTATGTTGGGGCTGAAACCAGGGATGCTCAGAGATAGTAACAATTCTGGAAATATTTTGTCATAAGTTTCTCTCTCCCTATCCCGCCCTGTTTTGCCATCCCCCACTTTCCTTCCCCTTCCCCGAACTATCTGAGATTAGAGGTGACTGAGCCTCAATCAACATCAGGGAGAAAGGATACAGAGGCCAGGATAGAGCGGGTTGAATTTTTTTTTCCATTTAAACAAAAGGCATTTTGACTACTATAAATATTTTTGTTGGACACTTTTGTTTTGGTCAAAATATTTGTTTTTTCATGAAAAACTGGAAACTGCAACATTTTCAGTAATTTTTTCAGTTTTTGATTTAAATGTTTGGTTTTCACAATCAAACAATTACAATTTTAATAAATTTTTGGTTTGTGATTTTGGTTTTCAAAATCTGCTGAAAATTGAAACATTTTCAAATGAAATTAAGAAAAACACATTTAAGAAACCGTCCCATCAAACAGAATTGATATTTTTCAACCAGCTGTTGCTAGGAGGATAAGAATAAAATGGGTGTGGAGCATAAGGAGAGCAGGTCAGGAATTTTCCAACAACATTTTTTTCTGCTGGAAAACACCAATTTGTCAAAACCAAAACTGTTCAAAGGAAAGGGTCAGTTTCAATGAATCTCCAAATTTGAAAAAAAAATGAAAAACAAAGTTTCAAAGTCGTCAAAATGGGAAATTTTGACATTTTAAAAAATAATTTTTTGCTTTTCAAGTTGTTTTGAAACAACATTTTGTTCTGAAATTTTAGCTAATTTATACTAAACAAGAGTAAACTTTTTTTTAAAAGGTCAAAATTAAACCAAAATGAAATTTTGTTCACATTATTGGTTCACAATTTTTTTTTCTTTTAAGATTTTGAATTTTTGTCCCCATTTGGAACAGAATTTTTTTTTTCTCCTGCAGCAGTTAAATCGTTTCCCACCCTGCTCTAGTGCAGAGTTCTGGGAACAAAATCTGGAGCCTTTAAATTCTAAGTCACCAACTTGAACATGGTCCAAGCTGACAGTGACCAGGAATTGCTGCCTTGGCTTCTGGGCTCTATCTCCTGCCATGCTGTGATGTCTTAGATTCTCCACCAATGAAGCAATCAGTATGTTGACTTTTACCATACACAGTAATTGTGCTGTGTGAATAATGCAAAATTATAATTAATATAAGAATTGGGAGTGAAATCTCCAGCTGCTTTCTGCTCATCCTTAAGTTCCCTCTTTGTCATTCCTTATTTTTAGTTTCCTCTGCCCCATCTTTTTTTTTTCCCTCGTTGAATTTGGCTCTCCAAGTCCTTAGTTCAGACAAGCAGAAACTTCTGAGTTTGCCTGCAACTACAGCCTGCACTGCTCAATAATGCACGGCTTGAACGCATGCTCTTCCATGTTTGGAAATTGTTAATGCCATTACATTTCCCCAATGGCAGCGAGCTCATGTCATGGTATCGCTTGCTTTCTTGGCTCTGCATTTGTAAGTCTTGTCCTCAATTCCCCACTGGCAGCCTCTCTAATTGAAGTGACTGAGTGAGGGTGTAAATTATGTAATTGTATATCCTTGTCTCGGCAATGTAGGAACAATCTTTTGCCCCTAAAGAGCCCTGGTAAGACACACAAACCTGACTCTGTGTGATAACACGCAAATCAAAACACTTAATGAATGAATGAGCTCCGCAAATGCAGCTGGTAACAGATGGTCTCCAGGTTCAATAGCTGGAAGCAAGCCTTCCTCTTCGATTTAGGAAAGCCTTTACAATGTTTCGTTATAGATGGCAGACACCTTATCAGCTCTATTGGTAGTTAAGAAACTACATGCCTCCTCCTTCCAGGTCCAAACCACACTGTCTATACATGTTTATATTAATTTGGTGCTGGTCAAGAGTGCCAGGCTGATGGCAACTGGGACTGAAGCCCCTAGGAGGATGTATATACAGCAAGTAAACAGCCCCTTAGCCTGAGTCAGCAGACACAGGCCAGCCCCGGGTGTTTAATTGCAGTGTAGACATTCCCTAATTCATCCACAGGCCGGTAACTTAACAGGTCAAACTTCCCCCACACCATGTTTAAAATGGATCAAGGGAAAGATTTTTCTGCACAATATACTGTGACAGACCCAGACCAGTGGGGTAGAGGAGTCTGGTAGAGGGCAAATATACTGGTCACTGGATGAGTAGTTTTCTGTTCCCTGAGTGACCAGAGCAGGGGCTGCACTAGAGTAATCAGGAACCTGCTAAAACCAGTTAAGGCAGGCAGGCTAATTAGGACACCTGGAGCCAATTAAGAAGAAGCTGCTAGACTCAATTAAGGCAGGCTAATCAGGGCACCTGGGCTTTAAAAAGGAGCTCACTTCAGTTTGTGGTGTGAGTGTGAAGAGCTGGGAGCAAGAGGCACGAGAAGCTGAGAGTGAGAGGCTGTGCTGCTGGAGGACTGAGGAGCACAAGCATTATCAGACACCAGTAGGAAGGTCCTGTGATGAGAATAAGGGGAAGTAGCCCAGGGAGTTATAGCTGTCATGCAGCTGTTACAGGAGGCACTTTAGACAGCTGCAGTCCACAGGGCCCTGGGCTGGAACCCGGAGTAGAGGGCGGGCCCGGGTTCCCCCCAAACCTCCCAATTGACCTGGACTGTGGGTTCTTCCAGAGGGGAAGGTCTCTGGGCTGTTCCCCAACCCACATGGTGAATCTCTGAGGCAAGAAAATCTGCCAATAAGCGCAGGGCCCACCAAGATAGAGGAGGAACTTTGTCACAATACATTCAGCTTGCGAACGTCATGGCCACAAGATGTCACTGAGGCTAAGAGCTTAGCGGGATGCAAAAAAATAAATAAAAATGGAGCATTTATATGAATAGCAATAATGTCCAGAGTTGATATAGCAAGGATTCAAAAAACAAACAAACGAACACTTCCCCCAGTTTTGGAAGGGCTCTTAACTCTCCTGCTTCAGGGCATAACCAGCTTCTAAAGTTTGGGGGACAGGAAGGAAATTACTCTAAGGGCAGGTTATCAGTTTCTTATACCCTCCTCTTTGACAGTGGCCAGCACCAGCTGCTAGAGACAGGACACTGAACTAGGTGGACACATTATTTTATTGAGTTTAGGGCAGATAATTCTTATGTTTTACAGATGACATAAAAATTGGTACCAAGTATCAGGGGGGTAGCCGTGTTAGTCAGTATCCACAGAAACAACGAGGAATCTGGTGGCACCTTAAAGACTAACAGATTTATTTGGGCATAAGCTTTTGTGGATAACCACTTCGACTCCATGCATCTGAAGAAGTGGTTTTTTTACCCACGAAAGCTTATGCCCAAATAAATCTGTTAGTCTTTAAGGTACCATAAAAATTGGGGTAGTGGTCAACAATGAAGAGGACTAGTCACCGATTCAGAATGATCTGGATCGCTTGGTAAACTGGGCGCAAGCCAACAATATGCGTTTTAATACAGCTAAATGTAATGTACTCATCTAGGAACACAGAATGCAGGCCGTGCTTACAGAATGGGGGACTCTATCCTGGGAAGCAGAGACACTGAAAAAGATTTGGGCATTGTGGTAGATAATCAGCTGAATACGAGCTCCCAATGTGACCCTGTGGCCAAAAGAGCTAATGCGATCTTGGGATGCATAAACAGGGGAACCTCGAGTAGCAGTAGAGAGCCCCCAATTCAAGAAGGATGTTGATCAATGGGAGAGGGTTCAGAGAAGAGCCATGAGAATGATTAAAGGATTAGAAAACCTGCCTGACAGTGATAGACTGAAAAAGTTCAATCTACTTAGCTTAACAAAGAGAAGACTAAGGGGTGACTTGATTCCGCGGCTCTTCAGTCTAAGCAAAGAAAGAAATAACATGATCCCATGGCCAGAAGTTGAAGCTAGACAAATTCAGACTGGAAATAAGGCATAAGTTTTTAACAATGAGGGTAATTAACCATTAAAACCATTTGCCAAGGGCTGTGGGGGATTCTCCATCACTGGCAATTTTTAAAATCAAGATGGGATGTTTTTCTAAAAGCTCTGCTCTAGGAATTATGTCGGAGATGTTCTCTGGCCTGTGCTATATAGGAGGTCAGTCTAGATGATCACAATGGACCTTTCTGGCCTTGAAATCTATCAATCTATGAATGTTACTACCACCCCCAACCATCAACAGCCCATCTCTAGGGGTGTTCAGTCTCCCTGGCTAATTCAGTCCTTTGCTTCTGTTGACATCATGGTGATGATTATTGTGAATACATGGTCATTAGGGCCTGCTCTGGGACATTTCCCTGTGAAATAGAAGCACAACCCTCTGGCAATAACCTCTGGTCACTGCCAACTGGGGACAGGTGCAACCAAGTGATCTTGGAAACGCTATCCACAGTCCTCAATGCTGTACGGTCCCCTTATTCTGAATTTCCTGACCCCTAGATCCTTGTCCTCTAGCAGTTCTTGCTACTCTTGTATCTCAGACAGGAATATCAGCAGCATGTGGCCGTTTTAATGTACTGCTCTG